ATTACTGCTGCTCTTCTCTCTTTAAGATCTTCTTTTATCGCCTTTCTGCATTGTTTTGCAAGTTCGGACGTTCGTTCGCGCTTGCCTGCAGCTCATGCGATTCCACACTAACGTATCAGCTCGAGTGTTTCTGCACACAGACGTCTCTTGGTGACTTTCGAACTCTCAGCTTTCATAGCGCTAACGTGAAGATGTTGAATGAGCCAATCGTATTCTTCGTCGGTGTTATCGACAACGGTATCTTCCCAACAGCTGGCTAATGAATTGAAGTCCCAGTTTACGGTGGTTCTGGGTCCTTGGTTTTTGAATTTAGCGGCTTTTCCTCTTTTGCGCGAGAAATAGAATCTTGCACGAAGGAGATGATTGTCTGATCTCGTGTAGAATTTTGAAACGATAGCGACATCGCAGAATGAAAGATCACTCATCGTCATCGAACGCGCAGTCTAAAGGTCGATGGTAAGAGTATTCCGTGCCACACAAGTAAAGGAACGGATCCGAAGCTCCGAACTGTGTCAGCTCAGATATTCACCGCAATGCACGCATTCTAGCATTTCGAGGAAAGCTGTTTTACGTAGCATGAGATGGTAGAGGTGCTGTTGGAGTCGATATCCTCGTTTGCAAAATTTTGGCAATAAAAATCACTTCGTTTAACGTTTTGTTTTCTGCCTTCTATAATTTTCATGGCAGGTTACTAAGCGAAATACAACCACAACGTTGCTGAGATATTTGCAAAACTCTGGACCGCAGGTGTCTATGGTGGGGAACGAACGCGCTATTATCCTTTCCGGGGAGTAACGCGTTCACCACCACACCATGCAGGTCCTCTGTTTCGCACGTCTCTCAGCTATTTCTATCGATCTTTTTGCCACAGCAATCTACAGCCATAGCTTAACTGGGTTCTATGCCGATTTGCGCTCCCCAGATCAACCCCGCTGACGGGTGATTGCTGTGGCAAAAAGATCGATAGAAATAGCTGAGAGACGTGCGAAACAATGGACCCGCATGGTGTGGTGGTGAACGCGTTACTCCCCGGAAAGCATAATAGTGCGTTCGTTCCCCACCATAGACACCTGCGGTCCAGAGTTTTGCAAATATCTCAAAAATCACTTCGTTTGAAGAACTAGCGACCGAATAAGGTGTTTAAGATTAAAAGAAATGGGCATATGCCGACTTTAAATCTTCTTCACTCGCATCCAAAAGTATAAAGTAAATGAAATCGACACCAAATTTAAGAAGGGTTTACGTGATGTAGAACATGAACCACTAGAAGAAATGCTCTCTTTGATTTTGTAGATTCGAGAGCGGCTTTAAATTACGTGTTAATCTGTTATTATCTTCTTATAGTAACTAATGCGCAGGGTACCAAAACCTTCACATTATGAATAGAATTTTTATGGAATTTGTTCCTTGTCATTATCTACACGGGATCGTATTGCTATATTTGCAAGGTATAGTAACTATTCCTCAAATAGTTCCTATCTCTATGTTACCTTAAGTCTTCTACAATAGCTGTTTTACTTGTAATCATTATACATCTATTCTTGCACATTCTCTAAATTATCTTCTAACGACCATTTCATGCATTTGCCTCGCAGGTGACTGAAAAGGGAATCAGCAGCAACCAGCTGAATGTACTATCTAGCATCTGCCGTCCCAAAGATGTTTCCGAACAAGCACCTATGCCCTTTCACATGTAGCCCTATTAGATTGTGCTAGTAGAAAAAAACCATTAGAACCTCACACTAGGCACTGTCTTTAGTTCCCTCTGGCAAAGCTCCACTCCCTACAAAAGTAATACAGGCAGCCCATCGGCATTCGTCTTCAAGTGTTCGTAGTGTTCGCCCAGTGCTTATATTCCAGTCCTTCAGTTTCTCAGTGCTCTAACTCAACTCCAGTGTCCGCTTAACTCCCTTCAAGTGTATCACTTGTTCTCCGATATCACATATTATTATCGTATCGTTGTTGTTACTGTAAACTGTTATAACCCAAACTCGAGGTTGTTCACGACAGTTACGGAAAAAAGTCCCGCGTGGTGAATTCATATAAAATCGAGCATTCCACGTACAGTTGGCAGACAAATGACAAATCCGACCAACTCCCTAATCCACTGTCCAGCTAGCACACAAGGTTAGTGGAAACCTAATAGTCTGTTCCTGATGTTTCGATACGCTATTAAGTTTATTTATTTTATATTTATAGGTAAAATACCCGAAAGCCAAATCAATCTAATTCGTCAGCACCTCAGATATTTCGAAGTGTTTTATTTTCCCATACAGATATATTATTAGCCCATTACATTTGCAAAGCCACGATCTAGTTTGCAAAAATTGAAAGCAATCTTAACCGTTTTATTTACTGCTTACTCTTTTTAATGGAAGGGCATATTGCGAAATATAACATCAATGATGCAGAGATTGGAAGTAATCCTAGAGAGATTGGTCAAGTAGGCCAAGCGGATAACGCGATTTGACTCATTTATTAAAAAAATTCATTGACGTTGAACTTAACGTTTCTACAGACACTGTAAACAGCCACGTCTCACAATTACTTTTCCCGGAAAAGTTTGCCACTAATTTACCAACCTTGAATTGGACGTAAGCTTCATCATTCCATGCCGAGGTTGAACTATCAAGCATGTGTATCGAACGCTTCTTCTCTAACCACTGCTTCTTACACTCAAATGTGTTCTCCGAGGAAGACTTGATGTTCTAAACCGGGACAACTTTCCTCTCTATGTTTGCTAAATGGTACAAGAAAGCGTATAAGAACAAAAGAAGCTCGTGCCATATATGCGGTTCACATGCATCCACTACAGAGTTATCTACATTAACTACAAGACCACAGACAGACACATTCTGGAATGTGGACACCTTCTTCTATAATTTTTTTTTGGTTACCTTCCTTTGCTTCCAATTCTAGACAGCTTTTGTATGTGTACGACGGATTTCCGCTTAAAAAAACATGGGATACAAAACTCGTTCAGGCGAGCACTTTAGTAATTACTCAAATTTTTATATCAGAAATCCAAGGCATCCGCCACCGACTAACAACCAAATGGTGTGGCACAACCGAAGATCCGACAAAGTATCTAAATATGGTTTGTTCGGCAAAACTACAGCTGTATGTGGATTCATCATTCGTTGTTTACTCTTCGCAATAGGTTAACAAATATAAGCTCCCTGGCATTTATAATACAGATACATACCGAACACTAGAGAATCAGAATACAAAGAGTAGTAAGTTTAATGGGTTCATTTGTATTGTAATATACGTTTTCCATTCATTAACGTGTAGATTCGCCGTCAAAAATTTCATTTATTTTATTTTATAAAACCCGTTTTCACATATTATGCAAGGTCCAAAATTTCTTCCATTCGGTTCATTCTTCCCTTCCATCGTCGACCAGTTTGTTCTATTTTGAGCAAAGATTCGGCCCCAACTTTATGATTTTGTCTTCTTCATTATCTTTTGATGCTTATTCAGCGTTGATCTTCGAATCTTGAGAAAGCTCTGCTACATCGTCACCAGGTATTCACAGCAGGTAATCGCCAACCTTTGAAGATCGGAGCGATGCTTTATCTAAGAGACTCTGATAGTGGTTTGCTGCTAGAGATGGAGATGAGAGGCTTCGTTATTAGTGGTGAGTGGAACCAAAGATCACGTGTATATCGCACGAGACCTCTTAGCAGTGTGCTAAACGCGTTTCGAGAATGCTTTGCACTAATTTAATCATCAATATAAAAAAATTAAATTTAATAGTGGTTTTCAAACTACGAAGTCAGCGAGTTGTTCCAGCAGCTTAACAGTGCTTGACGTTGATGAAACTGTTTCTGGCTTTTCTCAGCCTCCTACAATACTGTTGGCTACTAAAGAATAGGGAATAACTGATGCTTTAGCTAATTAATGAACTCATCCGCGAAAAAGTTTTGTTTGCCTACCGCTTGGGACGATTTCTAATTTGGTATCGTTAAGGACTTCCTGGTTTTTCCACAAAAGAAGTTAATACCTCAATAAATAGAAAACTTGAGGGCTTAGAAGCATGATAGGAACAAAAAGAGACTTTACTCTATAGCTCTATAACATCGAATGGTCTCCATGTTACTACCTACATTGTGTCACTACTACTCTGGTACTACAACCACAATAATGCTGAGATACTAATCTTTTATTTGCTGCCTACTATAATTTTTCATGGAAAGGTATGGTGCGCAATACAACCAAAATGATACTGAGATATTGGTAAAACTCCAGACCGCTAGTGTGTGCGGTGGGGAACGAATATGCTACTATCCTTTCCCGGGACTAACGCGTTCACCACCACATCATGCTGGTCCTTCGTTCCGCTTGTCTCTCAGCTAGTTCTATCGATCTTTTGCCATCAGCAATCACCTGTCAACGGGATTCATCTGTGGAGCACGAATCGGCATTAAACCCAGTTAAACTGGGGCTGTATTTGGAATCTTGTATTGGATGAGCTATCTGTTAATCTCATTCTGGATGCTTAGATATTTGGAAAACCTAGACTATTTCAAGTAATACTTTGCTGTGAGGAATTAAAAGTGAGTAAGTAAAAATAGCCCGGCATTACTCATATGCTCACATTCTATAAGACAATTACGATTCGTTATACAGGCTAAAATTAAAATAACAGTCAATTACTAGTCAAACTACCAGTTGATGAACTTCTTCGAAAAAATGTTTCTCATATATTTCTAAGTACACAATAAAGCTCTTTTCGGCCGCCGATCTCCGCTACATCTGTGTTGGATGAGCTTTCCGTTAATTATAAAGAGCGAGAAAGACAACGATGTCTATAAGGGTCGTACCAGCCACAACGTTTCCCTACACATGACTCCTATAACAATATTTGATTCATTCCTAGTCCATCTTATATGCGAACAGTGTTACGCAACAATCAAACAGATACTGCGTTTGTACAAAAAGCATTAACGAAAAAGAAAGAGACAATAACGACAAAGAGCTACTAAAATGTTTAATAACTACATCTTCACCCGCAAACAATTGTACGTTGCAGTTATAATTCCAAGACAACTAAAACACATTGTCGTCGCCATCCACATAGCAACTGATTTGCCAACAAATGCTCGCACATTGAACCCATGATGCCTGAACAATCATTTTGACAACATCCACGAAGTATTTCGAACATTCGAAAAACGCATCCATTATTTTAGAGAAGAGTTGTGCAACAATGCACTCGCCAGACTTTGCAATGCTAAATCAACTCGATCTGACCCTTAATGAGAATTTCATTCTGCTGCTATTTAAAACAAAAACTCTTCCTAGCACTAGAATATTTCGAATATCGTTAATTTTTTTCTATTAAGAATTAAAACACCGTTCGCACATTACCGCCAGTTAATAAGTTCCAGAATGCCTGATTACAGCAACCTCAGCTCACTAACTAAAAACATCAAATCCAAGAGCAGCTTCTTTTTTGAATGTTCTTGAGTAGTTCGCATCTGCTTTGTCAAAATGTAGTCGACTCTCGGTAAAGCGATTCGCGAAAATATTTGGTTCCGACTAATCCATACCCATATCTGTATAGAGAACTTACTTATACGCGACATAAAGACCGCATGGTACACCTACTGATGCACCTAATTTGAACGAACGGGACACCGAATCGCGAAATTCCGGCAAACAGCTGCCAAGCTCCTTCTGAGCATCCACATATTCCTTTATTGTCAGCCAGTCTCTCCTCATATCACTGAAATATATACGATTTGGCTCAAAAACAACGAATGGAAGGAACTTTAAGACTACCTCATAAGAAGCTATCCCCCATATTCTTCTTATTCATGTGACACAAATACTACAAGTCAAAATTTCCTCAAAAAAAAGCGCAATCGAATTAAACGTTTAAACAGTAATTCCCAAGACCGACTTTCTGTTAACCTCGGCATAGATTGGTAATTCGATGTTTTGCTTCAATAAGCAGATACGAGGTTGTTATTATAGAATTTATTAGGATACAATAGCTGATGTTTCGGCGGTTTCGCCTTCTTCAGAGCCTGGAAGGGTCAGATTGAGATGCGATGTACTCAGCCAAACCAAACTTTCATAACTCTAGCAGATAAAACTTAACAAATAAATTTGTATTCGCATAAGAAACAGCTTCACTTAAACGCCTGCCGTTTATTTGTTGTAACCATTTAAGCTAGTTGGTGGATAGCAGCCGCACAGAGTGATATACATGGGCGATAACTGCGTCTGTGTCAGGTCACGCGTGATCACAAGACAGTCCTCCTTGTGGTCCATTTTTGGATTTTTGGCATTGATCCGAAACGCTTCAAGGATTTTACGCGCTGATGTTTTCGATTCGTGCATGAGAATAGTGACTCCTACTTCAAAATCTCCGTTGTGTTCCTGCATCCTATGAGCGCCTAGTGGAGTGTTTGGTTTTAATTTAGATTTACCGACTAGGTGTTCTTTTATGCGGACGCAGAGCGGTCTACCCGTTTCGCCAACGTAATCGTCCCCGCACGCCTTACAAGAGATCAGATAGACTGTGCCCGAACTCATGCAATCACCGTCTCTACCGTTGGGGCAAATTATGCAGTTTTTCGTTATACATAGACGGTCATATAAGCGGTCTTCCATTTTTAAACGTTCAAATTAACCAATCCGAAAACGGCTACATCACAAAATGGTATTGAAAGGCAAGTAGTAAGAATGTATTGGTTCATTACCTTTCTTCTCATCCCTCACACACCAAAAGGGCGCTTATAAGAAATCTGTTTCGAACCGCTGCCAGCGTGTGCACAGGTGAAGATGAGAGGGAAGAATCCTCGAAACTGGTGCGCCAAATAACCATTTCAAATGGTTATGAAACTCTAGCTTCTCGGCATAGGCATCGAGGAAATCCCACGCCCCAGAGCGATAATTCTAGCGAAAACAAGGCTCCGTTCCCCTTCGTCTTTAGTTTAAACGAAATAAGTGCGGCTATAAAGCGTTGCTTTATAAGGCCCGGTCTAGAGAGTCCCGTAAGAGTGATAGAAACACCATCGGACACTCTAAAACGCCAGCTAGTTTGGAACCGCCTATATGACTGTCTATGTATAACGAAAAACTGTACAATTTGCCCTAATGGTATAGACGGTGATTGCATGAGCACGGGTACAGTCTATCTGATCTCTTGTAAAACGTGGGAGGACGAATACGTTGGCGAAACGGGTAAGCCGCTCTGCGTCCTCATAAAAGAACACCTAGTCGGTAAATCTAAATTAAAACGAAACACTCCACTAGGCGCGCAGAGGATGCAGGAACACAACGGAGATTTCGAAGTAGGAGTCACTATCCTCATGCACGAATCGAAAACATCAGCGCGTAAAATCCTTGAAGCGTTTCGGATCAATGCCAAAAATCCAAAAATGAACCACAAAGAGGAGTGTCTTGTGCTCACGCGTGACCTGATGCCATACCTTAGGCTAATCCAATGACCTGACACAGACACAGTTATCGTCCATGTATATTACTCTGTGCCGCTGCTATCCACCAACTAACTTAAATGCTTACAACAAATAAACGGTAGGTGTTTAAGTGAAGCTGTTTCTTATGCGAATACAAATTTATTTGTTAAGTTTTATCTGCTAGAGTTATGAAAGTTTGGTTTGGCTGAGTACATCGCATCTCAATCTGACCCTTCCAGGCTCTGAAGAAGGCCAAACCGCCGAAACATCAGCTATTGCATCCTAATAAATTCTATAATAACAACCTCGTGTCTGCTTATTGAAGAGAGACATCGCATAAGTAGTGTTGCGCTACTCCTATGTTCCTTTGCGAAGGTAGGCTGTAATCTTTTAGCATACGATACAAACAAATCCATCACTCCAACGCCCGCTATGACGCTGTAAGCTGTAGAAGAAGTATAAAAAGCGCTAAGCAGAAAACAATTAAAAAAAACCGTGTCATCTTTTAGTACTTATTCAAAAAATTGCACATTAGGATCTCTGTTACGAACATAAACTTAGTAGTCGTGCCGAGTCGATCTCACGTGGAAAAATAATAATAATGAAAAATACGAAAATTCCACTTTATTCTCGTTTATACAACACATCGGTAACCTAATTAAAGAAATTAATCATGCAAAACAGTAACGCTAGACTTGAGCGAAGAGCACGAAATAGAGGCCTAGCGAACTATATAGGTACCCAACGCGTGCCCACCCAGTTTTCGAGGTATGTGACACGTGTACTTGAAAGGAAGTGTTGAATTGATTAGGATTTAGACACGCAAAATGAACAGGATTGAAAGGAACAAATGAAATCACAAATAAAGACGATCCATAGAAGAAATGAAAGGACAAAATAACGCGAAAAAAACCTTCTACAAGATAAATTCTAAAAAGTTATACATTGTCAAACAGAACCTGCCAATAAGGTAGTGATACGACAATCTTGTCACTGAAACGAGAGTACAACCATGGATTAATGAAAAAAAGATGCTTTTAAAGAAAAAAAACGCGAACAAAAACACCGAAAGTGGAAGAGTGGAGCATGAGAACGCTAGTCTGCAAGCAACGACACCTGATAGAAACAAAACAATCGTACAAAAGTGGACAACAAGATTTCTAATCTAGAAGCAAAGAACAAAGCTTCTTAACTGGGTTCAATACGGTTTTCTGCTTCCCAGTTCATTCCCGTTGATAGGTGATTGCTTATCGCGCCGTTAGAGTAAAATACTAGTTTGGAAAAAAGCAAAGCACGCCCTTTGCCCATGTCTCAGGATCATTTTGGTTGTATTCCACACAATACCCTATGATGAAAAAATGATAGGCAGTGAAGAAAAGTTATATATTTGGATAGTGAAGCATTGCTCAAGCACACAATTAAACTTATGATGCACTCCTTCCTAAAATTGTCAATTTTTGGTTGATATTCCGCTGTTGTTGAAAGCACCATTGTGTTCTCATCTACGAGCTGTATATCTGGAGTGCTAGCTTCTGATGTACAATGCTTTTCTATTGACATTAAGCGTCGCTTCTTCACTAACAGCTTGTCTTCCATTCGTTTGTTTTCGGTGTTTCTTTAAATTCACCGTATTTATCTATGGTTAAAACAGCCAGGATAAGAGTGCCTAATCTAGAAGCAAAGGTACAAAACAGTCTACGTTGAAAGTTGGCACCTAGGATACGTAGCTTGTAGATGGTAACGTTAAATGAAAACTTACATATTTTCAAACAGAACAGAAGAATAAATGATAGAACAATGCTACCGCGAAAACGACAGTACAACCACAGATAAATAAGGTGAATTTAAAGAAACACCGAAAACAAACGAATGGAAGACAAACTGTTAATGAAGAAGCAACGCATAATGACAATAGAAAAGCATTGTACATCAGAAGCTAGCACTCCAGATATACAGCTCGTAGATGAGAACACAATGGTGTTTTCAACAACGGCGAAATATCAACCAAAAATTAACAATTTTAGGAAGGAGTGCATCATAAATTTAATTGTGTGTTTGAGCAATGCTTCACTATCCTAGAAATACATTGATGGAACGGAGCTGACGGATTCCAACGATGATGTCATTGAGCTAGAAGAGAAAATGAGGCTATCGAGTGTTCTCTGAACCAGTGGTTCACCTAGCGCAGTAGTCGATGACGATGAAATGAGAGATCTTGACGTTGAAGGCGACGATGATGAATACATCGGTGACGACGATGACGACGTAGTGGCCAAAGCGCTTGCGCGTCCCACAGGTCGCGAACGGGGTGGCGAGCACGGTACGGGAACAAACGGTTCGGTCATCTCTTCGAGCAAATTTTGCTGAAGAGAATAATATTCAGCAAATAACTAAAAAGAAATTACCCACATCAACGATGCCACTGTTTTATGGTTAAGCACTTTTCTTATTATAACACGACGCTTTAACATGTTTTCAACGACTCAAATCAGACCGTCGCTAAGCTCCAGGCGTGTACTTTAAATGAACCTAAAACAAAAATAGTAATACGTTTAAAATAGTAGGATCTAAATGTGATCAAAAAAGCCAAAAAGCCACGATGAAGTCAAGAAGAAAACTTGGCCTGAAGATCGGAGTTTGGGACCAGAAAACAAACCTAATAGTTTTAATTTAGCAAGAATGAGATAAAGTACAACAACCGGAAAGTAAAGAAGTAAACATAAATATATAACTTTTCTACACTGCCTATCATTTTTTCACCATAGGGTATTATGTGAAATACAACCAAAATGATCCTGAGACATAGGCGAGGCGCGTGCCTTGCTTTTTTCTAAATTAGTATTTTACTCTAACGGCGCGATAAGCAATCACCTATCAACGGGAATGAACTGGGAAGTACAAATCCGCATTGAACCCAGTTAAAAAGCTACAGTTGAAATCACAGTGTTAAACTTTTATTCACTGCTTTTTATTTTTTCAAAGCAGTGTACGTGTGGCGCAGTGATTGGCGCCACTGCGGCACACACGCGGAATCGATGCCCGTGCTCATGGCGCACCAAACCTTCCATTCCTACGGGGTCGGTAAATTGGTACCAGACTTGTCTGAGAGGATAGCATTACTGGTTCGATACATCGGTACGCCACTGCGATCCATTGCAAAGGCCAGATATGCATTCAGTCACCACCAACGATACTTAATGAAGTCGAATGCATGAGAGTGATCAACGTCGAAAGCTTTTATTTTATTTTATAGCGGAGTACGATACTACTGTGGTTGTATTTCACATAGTAAACTGCCATGACAAAATAATAGGTAGCAAATAAAAATCGAACAATGTCATTTCGACTAAAGTTTCAGCTTAAGTGTGTTCACTTCCGATTTGTGTCCCTCAGATCATTCTCACTGAAATGTGATTACTGATATCAATGTTAGGGTAAAATATTGGTTTATAAAAAGGCAAATCAGCACCTCGGTGGTGCAGTGGATAATAAGTTAGCCTCGCGAAAGGGTAATCTCCGTTGCGAAGCTCAATTCCATGTTAAGATGCAGTTCCGAGTTTTGTTCATATCTCACTATCATTGTGGTTAAATATAAATAATTTAAGCATATATGTATACACATCTATGCGTGCATTATATACACACATATATATACATGTATATATATGCATATATGAATGCATACATACATGCATATGCATGTATTTATATATATATCCTATCCCTACATATGGATACGCACACGTATTTATCTTTGCAGTGTACATAACATACCACTAAAGCTATGCGCATGTGCAACGAAGGACTAATGTGCGGATCTGTCGGTCTTCTTCTACAAGGCACTTTCGGAGGACAAACCCATGGAATGAACCGTAACTCAGCGGTGGTTGGACGCTCATCGGGATCACGACGTAATAGGCCAAAAATCAATGCACGAGCTGAAAAAAAAAAACAAAAAAGTATGTACCGTTAATAGCAATATTAACTCACCGCCAGCACTCAGATGTACATCTGGGGGTAAGACGACCTTCGCAACACGAATTTTTGAAAAAACACCGGCTGGTGTCTCATCATAAAATGGATAGCGACCAAGCAACAATAAATAAAGCAATATACCAAGGCTCCACACATCACAGGCTTTACCGGAGAAATTTGGAGCGCGATTTACCACCTAAACTATCAGCTGTACAACATAAAATAGAGATTCGCATGAAATTTTGCAGATTCACCTCTGGTGCAGCGAAGGCAGGAGTGCAATACTTATCGACCATTCGGTCGTCTGTAGGATCAACACAAACGATGCAGTCGAGAACATTTTCAAGCCGTATTCGATTCTGCGGATCGATGACAAGCTTTCGTGGCTTTAGATTACGGACGATAATTCCCAAAGAGTGACAAAACGCAAGGATACGTACAATCTAAAGCAGTATTTGGTCGATTGAAATCGATCGATTAGATTACTTGTTCAAATTTCATCTTTGCGTTGTACACCCAATTGATGTGATAAAAGGTGATAGATTTCAAGCTGATAAAACTAGACTACTTTTGAAGCCAATAAGAACGTTTAAAAAACAACACTATGCGAAAAATTAGGAAACGTTTAGTTTTGTTCAGCAATTCTTTGTTCGAATGACACATTGCAACGTTTTGTAGCGAAAATCAACAAATGGTAAAACATCCCGTGCCTCTGCAGAAAACAGCGGCGAGCGCTTTTTAAGGGAGGTTTTTACTTCTACGTAGAAGTAGTAAATACGCTAAGACGCCAAATTTTAAGCCACGCGCAGTCCTAACGGGGTTCAACTCACACTTGATACAGAACCTATTTCAAAAACACGAAATATCAATAGTCCCTTTGCGTTACTCAGCAAGTACATAAAGCAAATCCTTCTGGATTTGTATTTGTTCGACAGGCAAACCTTAGCACCTTCATATTCTGTGGCATGCTTACCAGCGAAGATGTTTTAGTGTTTTTTTTTGAACAGGTTTTCGTGATGGGATAAACAAAATGAGAAGAAGTTTCTTGTGAACTGCATAATGTGAAGAAAGCGCCTTTTTTTCGCCCCATGGTGGATATGGTATCGTTTAAATGCAAAAGATTTAGCAAAAAGAGCACTGTATAGCAAAATAAACCATGACAAGGAATTGAGAAGTCAATTCGCACTATCCCCACAACAACTTCAATTGATCTATATAGTGGCGCATAGGGAAAAACGAGTGGAGGAAGACTGGATGTTTCCTAAAAATTAGCGTGAGAGGAGGACTGGACCATTTCTAGAAATTATAACTATAGTTGAGACCAAATAACATAAATTCAAAACAACTTCGTAGGAAACCAAAGCTAAGTATTGGGATACTCAATCTCTGACATTCATAAAAAGAGGACCCGTGGCAGTTAATCATAAAAAAACCGAAAAACTACCTGTCTAAATATAGGTTCCACATCAGCTTCTGTCATGTGGAAACTTTTCTTCTGCGCATATGCATGCAAAGAACATTCGTGCAAAGGCACGAACATTAAAAAACGTCCATTCATCTCTTCAACCAATTCACATTCTGCTGGCATAACCATGTCCCTACAGAACAGCAACAAATAGATCTTCAGACTAACAAGAAATACTGGATAGTCAATCAACAACAGAATACACACCGCAACTCGTTAATGTCTGCTCCTCTGTAGTAATTCTCCGCTTCTTCGAGACGAGCGATAACTTGTGATACAGTGTAAGCTTCTTGTGAGGTCAAAACCTAAGTCATTTTTACTTTTGTAATAACACAACTATTTCACAAAATGAGATCTGTTACGAAGAACAACACTGAAAACAGAGAATAACTGGGAACATGGACGTGTAGTGAACGAACCTGACAGTGAACAACCCTGTTTGTAGGAAGGTGTACAGCTCTCGAGTCCTTACCTGCGCCGACTATTCGGTAATCACCAATTACAGAGTTGTTGGTCTGTATTTCAAAAATCATACACATATAGTCACACATATGCATACATGTGCATAGCAGGCAACGTATACAAAGTGAACCTAACCAAAGGCTCTAGTTTTTCGTGCTTCTTTCTTCCCATAAGCATTCGACGACAATTGCTGCCGCAAGAGATCAGCGTTTCACCACTAGATGAGAAATCTGCGCCATTCTAGAATGCATTCGTCATTCACCATTCATATTTACCCGCATGGTATTACCAACAAAATGCAAAAAGACGTTACACCTTCAAGTCCGGTATCGGATAGTGAAGTTAAAACCTCACCGAATGAGACACGGTGTACGATTCATCAGTGAACGACGTACTACCATATCGCTGACGCTTCAAGTCATCCGACGACGATTCCTGCGACACATCCGACAAAATCGATAGCGACGGCGACGATCGTTCATTCGTCGACATCTAAAGTGGAAAACAGAATTGATATATCATCAAAAGCAGCTAGTAGCTGGACAATAAATGCAAAACTTCATTCCCGTAAAGAAAATCAGGCCCCCACGTAGACCATTAGCAGGTTTTAAGCATACCTCAATGACAGGAAGACTGCTGGCGGCAGGCCTTTTCCGAGAAAATGATGGACGTGTCGCGAGTCGCACAGCATTTGTGGTCGAAGCTAGAGGTGAAACTGGACGACCCAACATTATTCAAGTGATTAATCTGAATCGAACAGTTAGCAATGGGTCTGGAGATGAAAGTAAATCAGCATATGATAGAGGTTCAGGTTGTTAAAGCTTCTAGGTGTACTGTTCAAAACAGAAACAACAAGCAGAACGAATTCACAACAACGATCGCATAAACCGTCGAAACACGAGTGATGTATGACTTGCTCGTGTGCCACCCGACAATCGGCACCGTTGCGAAATTTCAACATTCGAATATGTCGCACTGCTTGTTGATAACCAGTTACTTGACAATGTGTCTGGTGTCCAACGACCGTTTCGCGGCTTCGGTTTAGCGCCTTATGAATCACAACAAAGAACGGGACTGGGTTCAGCAGGGCTCAGCCGAGCGAGCCCGCCACGAGATGGCGTGCGCAACGCGACGTGCGACGCGCCACCCCTGTGCGCAGGCACGCCATTGGCCGAACAGCGCTGTTTCGTCAGCATATGTGCTGATGTTGGCCAGAATTACGAAATACTCTCTATCGCTGTGGACCACGTGGTCCGTTGCTGCGACGTGGGTGGCCTATGATCAGAGACTATCTGCTGATAGCGTTTACTTTCCGGGAAATGTGTGAAGTCCACGGAAGTAGAACACCATCTTCCACTTGTAATTTAGAAGCGATAAGTTTTAAGCGATCATGAAACAGAACTTATTTTTCAGTGTAATCACGAAACGGCTGGGGATGATTTGTATATTTCGAAGCGTGATATGTCTCCTATAATATATTTGAAACCAATACTTTTCAATACTCTGTATTCGCAGTGTTTTTATCCTAAAAGCACTTCTAATTTTCCCGCATGTAAATATCGCTTTCAACCTACATGGAAATAATGACCACGAGTATCGGCTATACCTGAAGATTTTGCCCATGAAAGAGGTTCAGAAAAAGAAAAAAACTCGATGCGAAGATGAAGACCACATATCAAGAAGACGAACGCCTGTGGACCATCGACTCGGATCCATCAACTTCGGCTTTGATGAATACGAAGACGTCGTAGCGTTAGCCGAATAAGGCCTATTTATCAACCTCGTGTAGACTCATCAATTTAAACACTTATGAAAGAGGTTTATCTGGTTTGCAGCAGTGAACCTACAGACGTTTCATGTCAGATATTCGAGTGATTTGTGATTGATCAGCGCTAAAGATTATTCCTGTAGAAACGAATCATATCGTTCTAATACCGAATATGTTCGTAACGTATTCCATACATGCCCACCGAAAATGACAAAGTGATTCGCACGATTTCACTTAGATCTACTGACACAATTACATATCATTACAGTACTACTATCATGTGGAACGAATGTGAGATCTGTTGAGGGGAAGCTATGGTGTGTATGAAAGTCGGAGAACGATTCTCCAATGAAAAACAGTGTTATCATCACTCTCTCTCTATCAGATTCACGTGAAACTAAAGCGCCCACGTTCCCCCTCTCGAAGCGCCCACCCCGCCGACCGACCGACATCGATCGCTGGTATTCTGGAATTCTCTGCGTAGAAGTTATATTTTATCTAAAGTAAATATGTCTTTTAGTGGTTATAGTGTCAAGGGAACCTTGTTCTTTGACCAAAGTTTGTCAATGAAAAGAGTATAATGTGAGAAGTATTAAGCAATTCACTCTTAATTTTCTTTGAACAATCGACTTCTACAATCATTTGTTCGACGAGTCCTCTTTAATAGTGTATTAGTTATAATATAATTATTGAAAACTTATGTCTTTGATGTAAGAATGTTTTATAGATCGTCATATTGAAAGTGATATCCATAATTTTGTAGTTTTGCAGCACAGAGTGTAGTGCAGTGGCTAGAGGTATCCTGCAGTAGGCACCGGATCGGTTGTTAGTCCATTCCCCAGCATTGTATCCACAAAGTTTTTCATTCCTCCGGGTTAGGGGAATAGTATGAAATATGTCGCCGATTGTACGGCTCATCACAGAAAGACTGATCAAGACAACGCTTTATATTCTTCACCTTTATGTACAATTTTAAAACGTGATAACTTTCAAGTGCACCTAAGACCCACTAAGATTCATTGCCATTGTTTAAGGTAGAAAGGAATATAGAGATTCAAGATAAGAAGACGAAAGACAAAGGAAAAACCAACCAGCTACAATCTTTTATGAACAGTGAGAACAATGAAGTGGTGAAATAAAGAGTAATCCCACAACATTTGCCTACAATACAAAAATACCCGTAGAGAGTCACTAAAGGAAAATAAGCAGACTAAATAGGTAGACTGATTACACTGGACTAGGCAATTGAGAAATGAGAAACAAGCAATCAAAAATGTCATTCGACGTTTGAAAAGAAAGCGATGGTTGACCAAAATCAAGACGAAAATTTATTTAAAATGCACTTAGAGTTGCTTGCTTCTAACACGAAACAAATTGGTAGCGATTTCAGCAGTAAGGAGCTGAGGATTCCAGAAAAGTGGGAATAAGAAATTTACGATCCAGTAACGGCCAAATATCAAACGGAATCGCTCTCCGATTGTCGCGCTGAAAATCAAAAAGCTTTACCTGATGTATCTGATTTCAATGAAACAAAGAACACAGTTATATGCACAGACACAAACACAGCCACATACACATACTCATACACATCACACACACACGACAAGAAATTACGATCGATGACAAAAAAGAAGTTGAACTGTAACTTTCGTCTTAAAGACACATATGGAAGCAGGATTTTGCCACAGTTATGAAATTTTGTTCTAAACACCACATTACCTTACTTGCTAAAGACTTGATTAGATCCGGAAAACACATCCGCTAGGGAAATGGAAAACAGTACAGGTTTAAGGTCACGCTACCTTCTTTTTCCAGTGGAACGGTTTTTTTTTCTCGCGGAAGTACTGCCCCATAACATATTTCTTTATTAGTTTTTCACTATTTGCAAAACTTGTTGTTTAGAATGGTCCAAAATTAATACATACATAGCCGCTTTAATACACAGCACCCGGTGAGCAATGATCTAAATGAAGACGTGTCCGAAAACAACAGCGCCCTTCACCTTCAACCAAGCAAATCCTGTCTTGCCATAGGCATCATTAGTTGGAATGAAGGCTACTAGAATTTACTGATTTTTACCTACAAGGCTCTCTTATCCAATAGAGATCAAATTATGATTTACTACCATCTATATCACCTGTCGCCCTCTCGATCGCCCAGTGACACAAGAGCATGTAAAGTAAATGTTCCCCTTTTCCCTGTCGCGTGCAATATTAGCCCGGTGGGTTCTGCTCGCTCTACGGACTCGTTCAGCACCATATTTTTTACCAGGCTTTTAGTGAAGAACTCTGACCATTGGGTCAGTGGTCTTTCACATTGTTTCAACATTCATTCAACATTCACAACATTGTTTTCATGAGATTCAATCGAACAGAAATTTTGCCACAGAATCTATCAAAGTCGTCAAGCATTCATTCCCCTTGGCTATTGTTTGGGGTTATAAGAACGACGTTATCAACAAAGCAAAGATAGCGTAATTGCCGACCATCGATTTTCATTCCCATTTATCTCATTCAAATGTTCGCATGACGTTCATGACGGTAGCGGTAAAGTTTCGGCTAGATGGTATCGTTTTGGCTAACCTCTCTCTTGACGCCGACGTTAATTTCGCTGCAGAATGGTGATGTCATGGTTGTGAAATCTTTGTATAGCTCACGAAGAATCTCTATATAGTGAGCAGAGAGTCCCAAACTATCAAAGACTTCCATAACCGTTTCTATTTCAATTGAGCCAATGGTCTTCTTTAAATCGATGAAAGTGAGACAGAACGGTCTTTTCTACTCTCGAGAAACTTCATTGAGTCTTATCATCCTATGGATGTGGTCCGTTGTACTAAATGCTTCTCGAAACCCTGCTTGCTCACATGGCTGCCCTTCGTCGAATGTTCTATCAATCCTGTTTAGGATGACTCGGGCGAAAACTTTGAAGACAACAGCAAGCAGACTGGGCGATAGTTGCCGATATCGTGTAGGTCACTCTTCTTTAACAATAGCACGGTCCTGCTACTCTTCCACTGAGCAGGGAACTCGCATTCAGGTACGTAACGTGTGAAGACGTGTTTTTTTCCGTTTTTTTGAAGCTAGTGTGTTTATGAAGATTGACAGGTTTTTGAGGTGTTCAGATTTTATCCTGTGCGGAACCGATGCTGTTCGATTTTCCACCGACAAAATGCATGTCAGGTTCCGGGAGGGAGAACCGGTGATACGACATGTCCACACTGCTTTATTTCATACAAGGGAGGGAGGACTTGCCTATCGAAGAGATCTGAGTAGTACTCGTGAATGATTGTCTCCATCACCTTTCTGGACGCTGTAACTGTTCCCTGGACTTCGAGTGCAGTCATCTTGGTCTAGTAATTGGCGAAGCTTCGGTAGGCCTTGCGAATGCTTTTCCCAGCCTGTGCAGCTTCGACCATTACTGCTGTTCTTCTCTCTTTAAGGTCTTCGCTTATCGCCTGTCTGCACTGTTTTGCAAGCTCAGACGTCACTTCGCGGTTGTCTGCAGAGGGTGCGACTTCACGCTGGCGTGTCAACTCGTGTACCTGGAGATGGACGTCTCTTGATGACTTTCGAACTCTCAGCTTTCACAGCGCTAGGTGAAGATGCTGAATGAGCTGACCGTATTCTTCGTCTATGTTACCAAGAACGGCATCTTCATAACAGCCGACTAATGAACTAAACAAATTTCAGTTTATGGTGCTTTTAAGACCTCGTTTCTTAAATTTAGCGGATATTTCTCTTTTCTGAGAGGAATGAAATCATGCACGAAGTAGTAGATGGTTGATTTCGTGTAGGGATTGGGACAACTGCGACGTCGGTTAGGCAAAACTTTCGATTTACTGTTACCTGGTCTATTTTGTTATGGTACTCTCCAATGCCACGGATCTCCCTCATATGAGGGATCCCGATAGCTGGTTATTCGCCAGCCTACGTTGCGCGTCCTCAGGTGGCGGATAGGGGTTAATCGCGGACCAAAAGCGACCTTTGCTTCCTTAAGACGCAGGTGGAACTTAGAGATGGACTCCTTGTTTCTACTGCGCCGATATGGTACATACTTTCTCTATTTACGAGGCGCGTGTGTGGGTGCGTCGTAGTTTATACAGATTGTATTCTACGGGTCAATTCGGCCAAAAACGTGCAATCAAGTGACAGGGAAGTATATGGGAGCGGTTAGGAGTCGCCTCCAACAAATAAGTTCCATGTCCACTCTGGGAAAGCCTGGCAAGCTACCCGTGAGCACACCCAGCCTTCATGTTCAGAGCCCAGAAAGCTATATGTGAGTATCAAAAAGCTAAAAACAGTAAAAGAAACGGGCCTCATTCCCCTGACCGCGAAAAAGCCACCAATTCGGCAGCGTTGGGTAGGACGAGTACGGAGAGGCAGCTAACATTTCAGGTCAATGGAAGCTGCGTGGATTGCAAAGAACCAAGGTGACGATCTGTACCTACAATGCATGTACACTTGCATCCGAGTCCTCATGCAAGCAAGGATAGAGTATGACTACATAGTACTGGTTGAGACCAAAAGGCGCTACTCATTCAACGATGTCTATGACACTAAAAAAGAATTGCTCCTCGGAACACGTGACAGTAGAGGGGTCAGCAGTGCCATTCACGGTAACTCACGATTCCAGAAGCCCCACTTTAAACATCATCTCCTAATGGAGAGTACCATAACAAAGTACACCACACCATTGCAAACCAAAGGTTTGCCTAACCGATGTAACTGTTGTTCCAAAATTCTGCTAGGTATCAAATAATCGTCTTCTTCGCGCAAGATTACGTTTACTGAAGGAAGAAAAACCGCTATTTTCAAAAAACAAAGCTCGAAAACCACCATAAAGTGGGGTTTACTCAGATCTTCAGTCAGCTCTTGGGAAGGTGCCGTTATTGCTACCATCGATGATGAATAAGATCGGTTCATTCAACACGGTAACTTCAGCGCTATGAAAGCTGAGAGATTGAAGATCACCACGATATGTCTGTCTCCAAAAAAGCTCGAGCTCTAACACCATCGTGGAATCGCGTCAGCCACTGGCAAAAGCCAGCACACATCTGGACTTTTAAAACAATGCGGAGACGCGATAAAAGATCGTAAAGAGAGAAGAGCAGAGTCACGGTGAAAACTGCAGAGGCTGGGAAAAGTATTTCGAAAGCCCACCGAAGCTTCGCCAATCACAAAATCAAGATGATTGCACTTCAACGCTCAGGCGGAATAGTTGGTAATATGTAATAGGTTCCAGAAAATCGATGAAGAGAATGATTCACGATTACTACTTCGTTCTCTTCAATAGCCACCTCCTTATTCCCTCACGTCGAAAAAAGTAGGATTGAAACATCATTCCACCCTGGTCCGAAAAGAATAAGACCTGAGCATCTGAAAATACTCCGCCAGTGTTCGTCTAAAGATGCTAAAATCTTCTGATGTTACCTATTTGAATGTAAGCCTCTTTTTCAATGGAAGACCGGCAAGATTGTGTTATTGTTCAAGAAGGGTGACCTCCACTATATCGGCAATTACCGTCCAATCTGCTTACTGTCTGTCATCTACAAACTTTTCACTCGAATCAACTTAAACAGGATAGACACAACACTGGACGAAGGACAGTCATGTGAGCAAGTAGGGTTTTGAAGGATCTGCCTAACTTTCGTTCAATTAAATAATGGTTTCGACTCATCTTAGACAGAAGAAGTGAAGAAAGCGCTAAACAGCCAGGGTATCCCTAGTTAGTACATAAAGTTCCTTCGTACTATATATACGAGATTGACAATCAGAGCACTGAAGTTCTACAACGATCTTTACATCAGCGCAAGACAGTGGTTTGACAACGTAGTAACATGTCGTCAAAATTATTTACTGCCATCTTAGAAAACGTCATGTGAACACTGGAATAGGACACCAACGGAGTGAAAATCAATATACAGCAACGATATCGCGTAGAGTTTGATGGCGCTTATGGGAAAATTGGTCTTCGACCAAATCTCACAAAAACATTCACGCTCAACTGAAATATCTCTGAATGCTCTAGTTACATCCATCTAGGTCGGGAATTCAACATGATGAACGACTTAGCTCCATAGTTGAGCAAGAGGAAAAGGGCGGCTTGGGGAGCTTTCAAGAACATCGAGTATGTAGTGAAGAGAACAAGAAACACCCGACTCCGTTCTCACCTTTTCGACTCAACGATACTTCCTGCCCCAACGTATGCGACAGAAACGTGGTCGCTGCGCAAGCAAGATGAAAGATCACTCAGCGTTATTGAACGCGCAGTCGAAAAGACGATGCTAGGAGTATGTCGTGTCACACAAGTCACACAGGGAAGGGATCCGAAGCCACGATCAACATTAGTGTTCAAAAATCAAGGATGCCGTTCTGTACGTCAAGCATTCGAAGATAAGGTGGGCTGGAAACGTAATGCGTATGAATAACAACCGATGGACAAGAACCGTTAGTGACTGGATTCGTCGGGATGTTAAACACACTGCGGAAAGACCACCGACCCGATGGTCAGAGTTCTTCACAAAAAGCCTAGAAGAAATATATGATGCTCAACGAGTTCTTAGAGCGAGCGGAACCCAATGGGCCACTCTTGCACGCAATAGGGAAAAATGGAAGATTTACTGGCGCCCGCTCGAGTCACTCGACGATCAACGGGACTAAGGTCCAGTGTTAACAGTAAAGTTTCTGGATTCGCAAGTTACCATGAATGGTCTTTGTCGTCATAATAAACTCAGAAAGCCGCTCACCCTGCTCGTTCCATTCTAATCGGTGGATCCCAACGTGGCGTTCTTCAGACGTCCTTCTGGGTCCAACCTTAGCGTTAAGATCTGCAATGATGACCTTGAACAATGCACAATCTTCTTTTCAAAACTTCTTGAACTCCGTCTACAGTGCTTCGACCTTGCCTTCATCATAAGTTTACGTCGAGTCATCCAAATCTCTTCAACCGTAAACGTCCGATTCGGGTAGCTAGTTGTTAGAGCGAATCGATGTTCGTATTGACGAGAACGCCGACGCCATCGTCTGTTCTATTGCGGCATGCTCCAAGGAACAGTTCCTCACCGGTGTTATAGATGGCGTTGAATGGGCGACGTCGTCTGGTCTCCGTCAATCCGATTACGTCGTACCTCATCCTTCTTTCATACAAGATCAACTCTTCTATAGAGAACTCAGATGCAAGTGTGCCTGCAATGTAGGGACAGATCGTCACTTTGGTTCATTGCGGTTTAGGCAGCTTAGAACGGCCCTGAGATTTTAGCAGCTTCTTCCACTCGTCCTCCCCAACGCTGCCGAATGGGGGCCTTCCGGGGTCAGGTGAATGAGCCCCACTTATTCTACTATTGTTAACGTTTTACACCCATGCATAGCTTGCCAAGTTCCGAACGTGGAGATTGGGTATACTCACGGGTAGCTTGTCAGGCTCTCCTAAAGGACATGGATCTTATTTGTTAGAGGCAACTTCTTACCACCTCCCTTATACTTCCGTGTCACTTGATTGCATTCTTTTGGTAGAATTGACTCATAGAATACAATACGCATAAACGAGGACACACCCACGCACGCATGCACGAATGCGCCCTCGTAAATGCAGAAGATATATGCCAAATCGGCACTGCAGGGACAGCGAGTTCATCTCCTGGACCCACCTGCGTCTCACGGAAGTAAAGGTCGCTTTTGTTGCCAATAACCCCGTATCGGCCACCTGGGGTCGCGCCATGTAGCCTTGCCACTAACCGGCTCAAGATCCCTCGTATGAGGGAGATCCGTGATTTATCAGAGCGAACAAAATAATTCTTTGCTTTTTTCTTTGCAGACTCATATTTCATACAGCGAAATGGCTTAACAGTTGAGATTTTGTAGAATAGTATATGATAGTACGTTACAATTTGCCGTTAATGGTTCTCCTCATTAAATTTGCCTTAAAAATCCCAGAAATCTAATTTTTTTCAATTTTTTAAAGCCTTAATTCCGCCATTTCAGATGCTAGCAAAAACCATTCGTATCCTTGCAGCAACTATGCGAAGCATCTTTCAAAAGTCCATCAAGTACCCAACTCCCTAACTACTCTGATTATCTAAAAAAAAAATATTTCAATTGTAGAAAAACAAGCAGCATTGTCTTAAAAAAGTAGAGGTCACCTTAAAAAATGACTACGAAGTGCTTTACTTTTCTGGAATAATTTGTTTCTATAAAAGGATAGAAACGAATCAGGAAAGAAGCGTCTCTGATATTTTGAGTTGACATTCTTCTGTATCAAAACTCTCCGGCATCGTTTCAACAGCTAGTAAACGTTGGAATGATGTACACCTAATTTTCATAATGGTTGTCCAAGTTTTTCAATTCTCTTACTATCATACCACTTCTTGCACGAAACGCTAAAACTTCCGACAAAAGACGCACACTGTTGATCTGTTTCCATGAAAGACGAACACTGGCAATACCTATCAAAAACAACGTAACTTCAATAAGTATTTAACTCACCCATCACCATCAAAGGCATTTCGAACACTACTGTGATATTCATACATAGTGTATCCATAGCAGGTATAATAAATCTGAACTCAAATGCACCATTTTTTAATTTTTGACCCATTTCAAACATTTTTCAATGATGTTGAGATATTTGCAAAACTCCGGTCTGCAGGTGTCTGCGGTGGGGAACGAACGCGCTATTGTCCTTTCCGGGGAGTAACGCGTTCACCACCACAACATGCGGGTCCTTCGTTTCGCTTGTCTCTCAGCTAGTTCTATCGATGTTTTGCCATCAGCAATCACCCGTTAGCGGGATTGAAAGAGTAGGCAGTAAATAATAAGTTAAAATTGTGATTATAACTGGAGCCTCGGCTTAAGTGGGTTTGTTGCCGATTTGGGCTCACCAGATCAATCCCGCTTACGGGGATTGCTGATTGCAAAAGATCGATAGAACTAGCTGAGCCGTGCTATTGTCCTTTACGAGGAGTAACGCGTTCACCACCACACCATGCTGGTCCTTCGTTTCGCCTGCCTCTTATGGATGGCACGTGATCGATAGAACTAGCTGAGAGACAGGCGAAACGATGGACCCGCATGGTGTGGTGGTGAACGTATTACTTCCCGGAAAGGACAATAAGCGTTCGTTCCTCACCGCAAACACCTGCAGTCCGGAGTTTTGCAAATATCTCAGCATCATTAAAGTTATATTTGGCAATATACCATGCCATTAAAAAAGAGTGGGCAGTAAATAATAAGTTGAAATCATCAAAATTCTATTATGGAATCCAATTCAAAGGCTAACTCCAGATATATCCAATCAATAGAACTAGCTGAGAGACAGGCAAAAGGATGGACCCGCATGGTGTGGTGGTGAACGCGTTATTCCCCTGAAAGGATAATAGCACGTTCGCTCCTCACCGCAGACACCTGCGGTCCGGAGTTTTGCAAATATCTCAGCATCACTCAAGTTATATTTCGCAATATGTACCCTGCCATTAAAAAGAGTAGGCAGTAAATAATAAGTTAAAATGTAATCATTCTATTTTAAACTAAGGCTATGTTAGGTTGTCGCATTACATTATAAGAGATCCCACCTGCATTCCAAGAAAGCCACCAGATGCGACTACACTGACAAGAATGAATGAAAATATCGTACAGATGAATGCATGAAGAAAGTTCGTTAACCCGACAATCCAACGAACAACAGCAATAGGTCCAACACAGTAGAGAAATCCAAGCATAGAGGTTCTGAGAAAAATATTTAAAGATGAACGACAAGACATAACTTAAAGGATATAACTCTAGAGAAAAATTTAATGTATACCCAGAAAATGCCGTTTGGTACAAGTAAACGACTGTGTATCGAGCGCCAAGCAGTAGCCCAACGAAGCACCAAAACAAAAAAGTGATGAAATACCGCTGAAAAAGCTTGCAATTTGGCTAATATTTGATTCCACAAGACAGTATCTAGCAAAATAACTTCTACGGTCAGTAAACCGTCTTAAAAATGAGTGCTTAGTCAATTATAACAAAAAAGACAGGAGAATGAAAGCAACTAGACTTTTTGGTAGTTATGAATAACTGGACGTCATGAATTGTGGCGGGAATAACAAACCCAGGATATATGCCACGTACCCAGCTGCAGAAGTGTCGTCCAATCTTCTCATCATTTTAGTAGCCACCTAAGCTACGCTTTAATGTGACGCAGAATGATGTTATAGTATGTGGAAAACTGCATATAAGTTGACCATTCCAGATGAGTAGTCCGAAGCCGCTTTGTTTTGTCGTTTCTTTTCTACACATTCCTTTTTTGACATTGCTCTTCACATCCATTAAGTACCTTAGGTATAGGTAAGCCAAACTCGAGAACAATACATGAAAAATGGCACCAGCCGCTTTCCAAAAACTAGAGCTTCATCAGATTTATTCGCAACCTAGTATTGGCCCTCTCAACCACTGAAATATTTGGACACCTCCTTAGGTCACTAGTACTTCTTAATTACTATTTCACTAACAAAATGAAAGCCTAACAAGAACATTCCGACAATTTACAAGTCGTTTTCGAACCGAATGACGGCACTAGTTTGCTAGGAGGATTCTGCCTTAATTCCGACAGCGCCATGTATGAAGAAGAACAGAATAAGAAAATAGGAAAAGGTTTTAGCAACCGATCACTATAGCGTCCTTCACTTATGATACCGTTCTCATAATACCAACCATTAATTCCACAGATTTTAACCAATATTATGAAAAATATAGGCTTACATATGAACTTAAAGAGGATGGCACCTTCTGTAAACGGCTCGGTATTCGATGTCCAGCATTTGCCCAAATGAAGAAATATTCAGAAATGCTCTACGAGCATCCAGGTCAAAAAGTCATTATGACCGGTGATAAACTTAACTCCAAAACAAGGCTAAAGAAAACGATCAAAAAGCAGGATCTTCTTTCACTTTTTCTATTTCTGAAGAACGGTATCGAAGTTGTAGAGATGCGGCCAAATTTTACACTCTACATGGCAGGTTTTGCAAAAAAAAAAAAGGATCATGACTACACGCGAAAGATCTGATACTCCATTCGTTGAGAGATTGGCACAAAAAGAGGGCTTATGGGCTTGACAGCGATGAATTAAAAATTCACTGGCCCCCAATCCAGATAACAAACGACACTGTAAGTGGTACCAAATAACATAGATCTAGAGGCTAGCTACCATAGTGATATCTGTTTTTACTATGTGCAAATTTGCTTCAATGTTTTCACTTTATGGTCTATGGATATACAACCTCACTTGATTTCCAAGTCCAACGCAAGCGCCAGTAATAAAACAGTGGTGGTCCTTTCGAAGAACACACATTTTGCAAATAGGACAGTGGTGACTCCTGAGAAAAGAACTTCTATACAAATATTATCACTGACGTTACAAAAATTCGTTAAAATTATCAGAAAAAAAACAAATATGAGCCATATCTAACTGCACTTGCCGAACTGGTGCATCATGGCCGCATGCGTTGCAGAATCGTGAAAGGCAAGACGGATCTAATTCTCCTTGATCTTCATCCACTAGGCAGTCTGTAATGCCTGAGGTAATAACTGCACACACTTGAATGCTCAACATGCAAGCTCCATACCGACGGGTACAGCATTTCTGCACAAATCTGCCACACATGCCTGTCTCTGCCAGTGAGATACGCAGTTGTGACTGAAAATGAAATGTACCGCAGTTAGAAAGAAATAGCTTGCGATAATCTTTTAGCAATTACATAATATTACCTTGAATAATACTGGAACAGAGTGAGGTTGACTAGTATTTCTATAATTACAATGACTCCGATATTAGACATAAAGTCACAATAATCAGCTGGATAAACTGCACAGCATGAGATGTGCAATCCCACATAATAGACGGATATTAGCATGAACACCTACAGAGCAAATGATAAGCTTTTCTACAAATAGCACAAAACTTTCGAATATCTAAATAGCAATTAATGAGCCACAAAACAAAGTTCTCTTCGCTTCCATACAGACAGGAACTTCTTTGCAAGGAAAGTATGTTTGAAACATGAAACAGCTATAACAAAATTCTACTTTCGTGCCATTTGACCATAAAGAATGAGAAGAAAGAACGTTTCAGAAAAACGCTACTGTGTTGTAGCGATAACTAACAAATTTGCTTATTTATCTACGTCAACTGATATAAATGAACATAAGACAATACTGAAAACGCTAACCAGAAACAAGCATCCTCCATAATTCACGAAGAAATCACCGAGTCTAGCTAACCGCCTATTAACACTAACCAAACAACGGCATGACATTTCGTACGGTGAACGTCTGAACAGTAACAATCATGGCTAGCTTCTGAAATCCCAAAAGAAGTAGTGTACCAAGGACAAGTATTTGTGCAAGCACCAACTTGGTTAGTTTTGTCAGGAACTAAATGGTAAAGTCATTGTTGATTGTTAAACGCAATATCGAGACAATATTAATGTAATATTTATGATAATCTAATAGGAACAAATATTTGCGCAAGTATGAACTTGGCTGCCACACTGAGAAACTGAGTGGTCAAGTCATAGTTAATTGCTAAACACAATATCGAGACAATAGCAATATAATATTTGTAACAGCATTCGAGAAAACTGCAAACAGAATAAACTGTAATACAACAACAACGTGAAATATAAGAAAAAATGACTAAGCCTTATCGATTTATGTGGTCTTTCAGTAGCTTATATATCGCTCCCGATGTACGACGTGCTAGCTCAATAGGAGTATCACCGGAACCACTACGAATACCCGCATCAATGCCTGAAACGAATGAATGAACACCTCAATTACTGAAGATCTCATTTAATACGTAACAGCAAAAGACTACGGCAAGATAACCATCTTTTCCACAATGAAGCTCTTCGGAGTTTAAATGAATTGGAGCTCAAGAAATCTCAGTACGTAAAGGTGGTAACGGTATATTTCTGAATAGATGCGGAACAAAATAGAAGACTGCTTCAGAAATACATAGCATCTAAACTTTTTCCAGTGACATCTCTTTAGTGAGAAACTTTACTACTAGTACCTTAATAGCAGGCGGCGTGTAGTGTAGTGGTTAAAGGTGCCCTGCAACAAACACCTTTCCGTCAGTTCTATTCCACACCACGGGCTCGCCAAGTTTTTCATCCATCGAGGGTTGGAAAACTGTTACCAGATTTCTCTTGTACCACAACACCAATGATTTGATACATCAGCGGGCAATGTCAACTCATTGTATAGGCTAGATGGGCATCTTTCATTTTTACGATGCTTAACAGAGCAAAATGCAGTATGCATACCTCAGGAGAAGCAAGACTGATCAACATAGAAGGCCTCATCCTTTTATACTATATTAATATCATACGTGCTAGGTTTAGAGAGTCATGTTTCTTTTTCTATTAATAAGACTTTTTAAGAGCAATACGGACTGCTGAAATAGTGGGCACGGTGAACACATAACATCGTTAAACCCAACATACCAGGCGCTTGAAGCAGATATCGAATAGTACGGAGTACATTCTCGGAATCCTCACATTGACCATTTATTGCAAGATGGAGCGGCTAAATGTATAATCTTATGAAAAAAAACCTTCTTTAAAAAGATATAAAATTTTACAGTCACAGATCCTACTGAGCACGCGTTCACATCTACTCCTCGAGAGATTAACAGTCCTACAGTTTCGTAATTTCCCCAATTAGCGGCAGAATGGAGAGGAGTCCACCCGTGCTTTGTTCTGAAATCCTCTAAAAATGGCTAAAATAGCTCAATTGGACTTAAACCCTAAATTAGAAAGTCTGTCCTAGCAGAAATGACAAGAACAAAAACAGATATGGAAGTAATTGATATATTGAGAACAATCTATGGTCGATACGACGACAATATAAATTAATTACCGAAAAAAGTATGAAATGAGAAAATCTGAATATTACCAGCAATACAAAACATTAACAGCGACTTCGCCTTCCTCAGAACCTGGACGTATTTTATGTTAGAATATTTTTATTATTCGGTGGAAAAGAAGGTTTAAGTATTAATGAAGATCAAACTTTCAAATAGACGCTATATTGAACAGAAAGGCCACTCACCGTGATGATACGTGCGGGACTGGCCCACACGTAGTTCACGTGGAGTCGCGAGCAAGACACGCCCCAGGGTCAAAATATAATTTTGAAATAGGGCGCCAGGTCACGCGTGATAGTGAGGCATTCGTCTTTCCGGTTCATCTTTGGATTTTTGAAATTTATCCAAAACGCCTCAAGAGTTTTGCGCGTTGATGTTTTTGATTCCTGCGCTAGGATCCGCACTTCAAAATCGTTGCCGTTGTGCTTTTGTGCTCTATGCGCACCTAGAGGAGTGTTTAGACGGATTTTAACTTTGCCATCTAGATATTCTTTTATGCGGACACAAAGTGGTCTACCCGTTTCCCCGATATATTCCTCGCCGCATTCATTAGATGAGATCAAGTATATTATACCTAAACTCATGCAATCCCCGTCTCTCCCGTTAGAACAGATCATACAGTTTTCTGAGCTACGCAAACGATCATAGAGACGGTTTCCAACTAACTGGCGGCGTAGGGTATTGAGTGGGATGTCAATAATCGTTACACAATTTTCAAGACCACTTTTTCTTAAGCACCTCTTAATGGCGTGACTTACTTCATTTGATATGAATGGTGGCTTAAAAGAAATCTTACTTACGTCCGAAACATTGTTTTGGAGAACTACCCTACGTTTCTGCCTAACCCTAGTGGCTTCTACTTCGTAGCCATTGGAAATGGTTTTTTTCAATAAAATTTTTTTTATTTTTAAACAAAATAAAAGTGCACGGCTTGTCGATTGCGCAACTAATGACCCTCTTAAAACAGTGTCTTAGTGTTCAATCTTTAGGTTGTCTAAAAAATATTTTGTACAAATTAGAGGGTTTGCGATGGGCAGCGTTTAGCACCAAGCCTTGCCATCGCTTTCATGTCTAAGGTGGAGGCTCCAGTTCTCAATCACCGACCCTTACTCTACTGTCGATACATAGACGACTGCTTCATCGTCTGTTCCACACAAGAACAGATGGATGAGTGCTTTGAATTATTAAACCGCCAGTCAGAGTATATAAAATTTACACGAGAAAAACCTACCGAGAACTGGCTTCCATTCTTAAACATCCAAATAAAGTTCTCAGTAAGTGGCTATGTAACAAAATGGTATCGCAAGCCAAGGTAAAAACATTCTAGTTCACTGGCTCTCCTCTCATCCTTCACACATGAAAAAAGCACTTATCAAAAATATGTATCGTACGGCTAAAAGTACGTGTACAGGTGAAGAGGAAAGGAAGGAATCGCAAAACCTGGCACGAAAAATTGCCATTTCCAATGGCTACGATGTAGAAGCCACTATGGTTAGGCAGAAACGTAGGGTAGTTCTCCAAAACAATGTTTCGGACGTAAGTAAGATCTCTTTTAAACCACCTTTCACATCAAATGAAGTAAATCACGCCATTAAGAGGTGCTTAAGAAAAAGTGGTCTTGAAAATTGTGTAACGATTATTGACACCCCACCCAATACCCTACGCCGCCAGTTAGTTGGAAACCGTCTCTATGATCGTTTGCGTAGCTCAGAAAACTGTATGATCTGTCCTAGCGGGAGAGACGGGGATTGCACGAGTTTAGGTATAATATACTTGATCTCATGTAATGCATGCGGCGAGGAATATATCGGAGAAACGGGTAGACCACTTTGTGTCCGCATAAAAGAACATCTAGACGGAAAAGCTAAAATCCGTTTAAACACTCCTCTGGGTACGCATAGGGCACAAAATCACAACGGCGATGATTTTGAAGTGAATGTGCGGATCCTAGCGCAGGAATCAAAAACATCAACGCGCAAAACTTTTGAGGCGTTTTGGATAAATTTCAAAAATCCAAAGATGAACCGGAAGGACGAATGCCTCACTATCACACGTGACCTGACGCCCTATTTCAAAATGATATTTTGACCCCGGGGCGTGTCTTGCTCGCGACTCCACGTGAACTACGTGTGGGCCAATCCGGCACGTAACATCACGGTGAGTCCTTTCTGTTCAATATGGCGTGTATTTGAAAGTTTGATCTTCATTAATACTTTAACCTTCTTTTCCACCGAATAATAAAAAAGTATTCTAACATAAAATACGTCCAGGAGGAAGGTGAAGTCGCCGAAACGTCAGCCATCGATCAATAACATCAAAAACAACGACAACGACAACGAAGATCTGTACCAAACTCGCGTCAGCTTAAAAAGATCAGTTTATAAGATCACATAAATAAATATATCAACTATCTATGCCGAGGTTTATAGAAAGTCGGTCTTTCGAGTTATACATACATACATATATGTATACATATATATATATATATATACATATACAGATATATTTCTCATATGGGACAAGTAGCACGCAAAAAATCATTTATATGAATGTACGAGGTATAAGTAGACAAGTATTTGAAAACCACTAAGCAATAAAGATGCTACTCAAAAGAACCTGCCAACTTGAATACAGTAAATACCGAAAAACTACCTTGCCTCAGAATCAGCTCCACTTTCTAGTAAGAACGACACCGTTTCTAGGTGATCACCGTATGCAGCACGATGAAGCGCAGTGTACCCATCCTCGTCACAGCTCTGAGTTACATAATTTACGAGCTTCAAATAAACATTTATGTAAAGTAACTAGAAAAAGTAGTGACGTACTGATATAAGATCAGGACTCTGTTCGAGCATCTTTCTCAAACCATCTACGTTCCCATCCTCAGCTTCCTTCAAAAACATGTCCTTTGGATCATTGAGATTGGCGTCCCGTAATCCTGTCTCATCTTCTTGCCAGGCAGAAACGAACAACCCTAAAAATCAAATCATATGAGTTGAGAAAGTAAAAATACTGCGATGATTTACCTGGGCTGTTCTTCTTTGCAAGCTGGACTTCTTCCACAAACTTCTTCTGAAACGTAAAGAAAAAAAACCATACAGTAACAGCTTCATCAAAGCCCATTTGAGAAATTCATCGCAGAAGTTCGGACAACTTACAGAACAGCCCAAGAGGTCTGGACCATCTATGTCGTCTTCGTCCTCTTCGTCGTCAATGAGTGGCTTAAAAACATATATAGAAGCTTTTTTAACGCTTAGGCTTACAGCACAGCATTAAAAAAATCGGAAGAAAGATAACGTTGAAAAAGACGATACAACTGACAAACCTGCACCTAATGTCAGGTACCAAATGGAACCATCTTCACGTCAATAACATTCCCTATGTTTAAGCAGTAAAATTTTATAAAACTAATTTATTTGGAAAATATAAGAATTACTCGTAGCAAAAGAATACTGTTGCTCAAGAAATTATATTCAATATTTAACTGCACTTTAAATGGTAAAATGTCATATAAATATTTTATTGCTTCAAAAAAAATGAAATTATAGTCGGGAAGTTTCTTCACTGTATATAAGCAGTCTTCTAAACTGCCAGTTATGGTGAAATTATTGCATGCAAATGCTTTTCAGAAATTATTGACTGCCCGCACGACTACAGAGATTGTTTTCCATCACGTAGAGAATCTTCCCTAAGTGCTTAGATTAATTGCAACTGTACTTCTTCACACCACTACAGAAAGTTTCTATCTTGCAGTATGATGTAAACATTCATTGTTCAATCTCTAAATGGTTGTAAATCGCACTTGTTGCTCGTTTAATACAAATTCTTGTTTAATTATAGAGGTTTGATGTCTCAATTGTGAAGATAGCGACCAAAAAGATTCTTGTGACAATGGTCAGCACATACAAGCAACAAGTCTGTTACTGTGTGGCATATCTTTCAGAGAAGTAATTCGACCTTCAACGTTCTTATTCAGGTCGTAACATAGTGGGTTCCTCTCGCCCCTATGGCTTAAAACTCTGCTATCACCATAATACTACAGTTTCTATTTTACTCTCGTTGACAGGCTCGTCAAACGTTCAAAGTCAACACCTATGCAGAACGCTCAAACAACCGTCACTGCGACATAAATCCACTTCGGAAAGCCGAGAATTAAAACGAATAAAGCAACGACCATTCATCTAACTAGTTGCTGCACTATCTAACTCTAACTACTCGACAACTGGATCAAACTGTGGCCCCTCGGGGATGAATTGTGCAATATTTGATGCATCGGTTGCACCCACTACAGCAATCCAAGCATTATAGATTTTTCGAATTCCCAGTTTTAGATGGCTTCCAATGGTCGTCTTGCAATTTATTTTTTGTGCAAGCTCCATAATCCCTATAAGTGGGTTAAAGCCAATGATTCACTTCACTAAATAGTGAAGGGATGTACGGTAACTCCCTTGACTGCCAAGGATGAAATAACAGAAAACGTGAAGACACAGGAACTGTTTTAAAGCATTCTAACGGTCTAAGCTTTATACCAACCTCGTGTTAATTTAATCACGTAAAAAACTACTGATATAGCAAACGATTCAAATGGATCTTCCTGGTTATCTAACACACGAAACCTAAAGTCGGTTTTTCATACAACCCCACCCAAATGCTATTCAAGATGACAACTTTTCAACGACGATATTCTAGAAATAGAATATGTGAAGAGTTCAGAAGTTGACGAGTTTCTAGAACAATTGGATACTTGTATAGCCCGTTCTCACTGGTTGTGCGAGGCCCCAGCACAATTTCCACTTTTTGGAATTTTTCTGATTTAGCCACTGCGGCTCCTTGGAGTCACGAGGTCAGCGTAGTCAAAGTCTGCCACAGTACGTCACTACTCCAGGCAGTCACCGCCCTTGTGGACCACAGAGAGATTCTCCACAATTCAACTAGTTGGAAACCGGGCGGTGGTGGATCTTAGTATTGGTTTGCAATTAGCTGGGCATTCCTTATGGGAATGCCGGATTCCTTCTCAGCTTGGGAAACCTGCAGGGCTGATGAATCCACCAGGTGGACAACGCAGCCCGACACCTAGAAACATTTCCTCCCCCTTGATGAGGTGGTAAACCGTTGGGAGTAAAGTTTCGGAAATACTGAGAACAAAACTCACTCTCTTACAAGGTTTAAGACTGGCATCTGCAACCCTCACTGAGTCATTCTGGGACAGCATCGTGTTCTACTGCAAGTTCTGCTTACTGGATCGTTTAGTCGGTCGAAGCACAAGCCTAGACAAAAGTGGCAAATCAGAAATTCATCGTGGTACAGCAAACGAACTTGTATGTCATTGAGAAATATCTGCAGTTTCCAAAAGTTTTTAGCTCAACTAGTAAGCTTACGATGGATGGAGGATCTGTTGGTTTGAAGCTGAAGAAGCGGCCGTAATTTATGGGCGCAAAAGCGATTTAAGTCAAACTCTAACTGTTATAAATGAATGAAACAAACAACTCTTAAAAGCAATAGCACCGAAAAAAGTACCCAGAATCCACTCAGGATTTCTACTGAATAACAAGGAACTGCACGAACACATGAACACGAAGCATTACATTTGCTTATCGATCCACCTGGACATGAAATAAGCAAAACCCTTGCGAAGAACTTCTGAAACGTTGACGGGAAGTAATATAAAGGCTAAAGCTCTCGGCGTTGATCAATCCTTGAGGTATGCGTCATGCATTCCACTCCAATCGTGGCATCGTTTGATACCAACACGCCGAACCCAGAGGGATGGAAGGTTTGGTGAGCCTTGGGCGCGGGGATCGATCCCATGTGTACTGCAGAGCGTCTCCAACCAATGCGCTACACGCGCCCCTGTCAAGTAATATAGTACTCAAAAACTCCAAAAGAACAGTTTCCACTAGTTTGTTTAGGCTACAATTCGTATATATACAGTTTAACTTCTAACAAATGATATTTAATTGTTGTAATAAACAAATATCGGTTCAAGCTATGTCGAAAATACAGCAATGCATTGTTTATCAGAGAGATACTTCAGTGATCTTGCAGTACTTACTCAAATCTTCTCCACCAGCATATGTCAAAAGTAACCATGTTTACAAATAGTAAAAAACTAAAGCAAAAATCAAAACTGTATAAAACAAACTAACTCGATGCGTGTGGTGAAGCAAACTTTCATTTCAAATAGCGCGCAAAATTTAATGTGCGCGTCGACTTTATATAGCGGTAGCTGCGTATCGATTGGGTACGGTACAACTCGTGCACCAGGTTGCCGGGACGGACGATTTCGGTGTGAAGATGTCCATCGTTTTCGGATCTGTTTGTTACTAGTTGCTGTTATCGTTCGTAGTGTTTTTGTCTTCTGGAACCTTTATTTTTGTGGTCCCTAGCTGTATTGACTTTCCTGATTCGTCTTACCTGGTGGATTGATCTGTTGTGATGAATTTGCGTGAACTCAGTGTCGTCCTATTTTCTGTGTAAAGTATTTTACATACACTATCATGGAAACTATTATGTAGTAGCTGAGCTTACCAAAGCAGCGTATTCCATCGATTTCTCCACGTCTACTTGATGTTGACAACCAGTATTACCGTAAATCGTATTGTGTTACGAAATCTCAGGATGGATAGCGTAACTGTCTCTGTTCTAGAGCTTTCACCTTAACAGCTAGCTTGTTTTAAGATTCTGCTAGAGAGGTGCTTACGTGATTCTAGCTTTTTAAATGATTACTGCTATGTGGAATTTCTGGACGTAATTGTTCATGACAATGGTAATTATCGCATCGCAATTGTTCGCAGTTGTACACAGCTCCCATTTATTGACACTTAACATTGTGATTTTATTTTAAACGGTGTTGCAGTTCGTCTTTAAAACGTCTCGGTACGATCCTTAACTCACCACGATGGTTAGGGAAGACAGGACATCTTGGAAAGCCAACTATTTTGTGAAGCTCATTGAATTGTTTGATCAGTACGGAAAGTGCTTTCTTGTTGGCGTGGACAATGTCGGGTCCAAGCAGATGCAGGAAATCCGGCAGGCTATGAGGGGTAATCTTTTATAGGGGCAGTTTTTTGTTCTTGTATCATATTCTTTTCTGTTATTCTTCATTATGTTTTCAAGGTCACGCTGTCATCCTAATGGGTAAGAACACCATGATACGCAAGGCAATTCGCGGACATCTTACAAAAAATCCTTCTCTGGAGAAGCTCCTGCCACACATCGTGCAGAATGTCGGATTCGTTTTCACCGATGGTGACCTAGGCGATATTCGTAAGAAGCTGTTAGAGAATAGGAGGGTAAGTTCTTTTAGTGTTATTTTCCCTTTTACTTCGTCTCAACCACTTCTTTAGGGTGCCCCTGCTAAAGCAGGTGCCATCGCACCTTGCGATGTCAAACTCCCACCGCAGAACACTGGGATGGGTCCAGAGAAGACCTCGTTTTTCCAGGCTCTGCAGATTCCCACAAAGATCGCCAGGGGTACTATTGAAATCTTGAATGAGGTGCATCTTATAAAAGAAGGAGAAAAAGTCGGAGCTTCCGAAGCCGCTTTGCTTAACATGCTTGGCGTGACTCCGTTCTCGTATGGCCTTGTTGTTGTCCAGGTCTATGACAATGGTAGTATTTACTCTCCTGAAATTCTCGATATGACCACCGAAGAACTCCGTAGACGATTTATGACTGGTGTTCGTAATGTTGCTGCGGTTTCACTGGGGATCAAGTATCCAACGGTTGCGTCCGCTCCTCATTTGTTGGCTAAAGGAGTACAGAACATGCTGGGAATTGCTGCCGCCACCGATGTGAGTTTCAAGGAAGCTGCTCAGCTAAAAGAATTCTTGGCTGATCCAAGCAAGTTCGCTGCTGTAACTGCTCCAACATCTGCTGCTGTTGCTCCAGCTGCCGCTACTGTTGAACCCACAAAGGAAGAGGTTAAAGAAGAGTCTGACGAAGATCTTGGATTTGGATTGTTTGATTAATCTAACGTTGCTTTGTTGTTGTGAATGATAAAGTTTGTTCGTAGCATTGTGTCTTTTGTTTCCGTTTACATAACATATATCTCGAGAATTTTTTTTTGTTTGTAAGAATATTGTTGAAAATGTGAGAGTAAAGCCACCACAATATTTTTTAGCTCGGACAACCTAGGCAACTTTTGTTACCATGCTGATCTTCAAAGATATATTCACCGGTGGGTATTTGGTCCTACTCGTTCACGTTCCTTAAGTTGTGTAGCATTGTGCACTGCTTGATGAGGTTGCGGTGATCATTGGCACGTTTTGTGCTAAGGATTTATTCGCTTGTCATTAACAGTGTAGATGATTGCTGCATGGCGAGTCAAAACGTGGTAAATTGTTTCAAAGAGATGTAAGATTTGAGTTGCGGTGCGGTCATCGCTGTGCTTCACTCTTTTACACGCAATTTAAAACTGTTTATGTCCCAAGCATTTTATACGTATTTCAGATGACGAATTGTCGTCAGATTCCTTTCCCATGAAACTCGTTGATGGTATCATCTATGAGTTTAAGGGTAAACATGTTGTTCGTAAGGAAGGTGAAATTATGTTGCCCGGAGCCAACCCATCTGTTGAGGATGATGAAGAAGGTGAAAATGACTCCGAGGAGCATGTGGAACGTGGGATCGACATTGTTCTCAATCACAAACTAGTGGTAGGGTAGTTCATAAATAGACAGTCAGTATTTCCAATATCCAGTTTCACATATTCATTTTTAACAGAGTTGCGATCAGGGGAAATCGTTAGCTTTTTACCACGATAAAGTCATGGTTTTTCGGAGTTCAGCTTTCTCCACTCTTTGTTGTTAAGACTGTTTCAGACTGCGTCTTCTTCGAGTAAGAACGATTTCATCCTGCGAGTTGTGATATTCAGAATGTGTCATTATTTCCAACGTTGCGCATTTTTGCGTCAAAATTCTTGTTGTACTGCATTAACATTTCCTAGTTTTAACACGGACAGTAGGAGTCGTGAACGACACGTCTTAATTTTGTCTGTTTTTTGCACGAAGGACTTTGGAATAACTTTCGTACTAGATTATCAGTTTTCTGGTCACAAATATTGTTTTCATCATTAGCCCAGTGGAGCTGTTTCTACACATACAAGACTGTCCTGCTGTTGAGTGTGTTCATCTCATTGAGCGTCACGTGGAAAATTTATGGGTTGGTGTATGGGGTTCCCGACGAAAATTGCACATCGTTGCTGATATGTTGATTTGTACATGTTCTTGACGGGGTTGGGTGAAGCTTCTTTAGTTCCTCAGATATTCAAGCGCTGTTGTTATCTGCAATTCATTGCTATTTATCAAAAAATTCGAATGTATTTTGAGCTCACGATTTGATGATTATGCCTGATAGTTAAGGAGATGAATTGCTACGAGGACCAAGCAACCTTTAAATCGTACGTGAAATCATTTATGAAGAAGGTTGTTGATCACATGGAAAAAAATGGCAGGTCTAAAGAGGAAGTGGATACATTCAAGAAGAAGATCCAAGCTTGGGTTGTTTCTCTTCTCGACAAGAAACGGTGGAAAAACTTACAATTTTTTATTGGTGAGTGAGCTGTACCTTCATTTTATACGTACGTAAGGTACAGACAGTATTTCAGGAGAGCGAATGGCAGATGGAGCTGGTGAAGGTCAGGTTGCAATTATAGAATACCGAGATGTTAATGAGGAAGAAGTTCCAACTTTAATGCTCATAAAGGAAGCCATCGTTTCGGAAAAGATTTAACGCGGTTATTTTTAAAACGTTGTTGACATTGTTATATGCCATACTAACTCTCTTTGAAAAAAAATTGTGATTGACGAGTTGTAGGTTTCTTAAAATTCGTTTCGCATGGATCCGTGTGTAGTTAACAATACCATATAGATTTAGTAGGCTTATATATTTCATTGACAATCAATGGTTGCATCGAAGTGCAACATTGGTGACTAGATATCAGTTTGCCTGTGGATGCTAGATGCTTCTTTGAGCCACGATTCTTGTTATTCAGGGAGAATCTTGGATTAGTGTATTTACAGAGGCAGTCAGAGTCTTACTAGTGGCTGAGAGGCGGTTATTTTTTTATTCTATAAAAATCAGGCTACAGACCACTCGGGATTTAGTTACAGTGAGAGTACTAAGTAGTCGTTAAAAATCATTTCATATATTCAGTAATTGCAGATCTCCGCATGATCCATCTGATCGCGTAAACCAGACGCTGCTAATTTTGAAAAGAAATATCAGAACAACAACTAATCGTATGTGATAATATAGACTTGTCATACTCACACCACGTATTTAGAAACTACGTTTATGTTATCTATGTTGTCAGGTTTTATTTGCTATTATTGTGGTCAATAAATGTTTTGAGAGTGAAACTTCAACGAAAGCAGGATTGTCGATTTTCATGAGGTATATTCGTGTGAGAAACAAGTAAGTAGATATTGAGATTGCACGCAGGTTACACATTGAATAGTGAGACTACTTGTGGAGGTGGAAAGATTGTGGGAATTCCAAATAGTTGTAGACACCCTATAAAATGTAGTTGTAAGGTCATGGGTAAACTAGTTATGGTAGTTTATTCGTGAGCACTGTAGTTATGTACAACATTACTGGCAGTGGTACTGATGTGGTGAAAAGCGCACGCATTAATGCAGTGAGACTTCTCCAACTTTATTTGGTAGGGCTACTTCGAACAACTGTGACGTCAGGTTTGCTGTTCTTTATGGTGCCGTTGTTGTATTGTTGAATTAGGTTCTATTTTGCAACGCATTTGTGCTTGTGGTGTTTCAGTACATAGTCGTTAGTTTACGAGTACTCAGTAGAATAAGTACTGGTCTGGGTCATGTGTATACATGAGAGTTCAGTAATCCTGCTCAGTGACTTCGTCACGCTACCAGAGTCGCATAGTGTGGTGCAAATCTGGTTCGCGATCAGTGGAGGAGGACCGCTCGCATAATCCCCTATTGTTATGTGTTAAACGTGACCACGTCTGTAATGTTCAACCATACTTTTATAGTATTCTGTTCTAGATTTTTGGTAGTTTGTAATGCTTCGCGCTGCTGCCGCTGAGCGCAATGCTAGTCCTATCGCTGATGTTCTAGCCAGGTACCTCTTTAAGGATATGAAAGTGGGTTCATAGACCTGGTGGCGTTTCTTATTTTAAAATTGTTATCTGTTTATGATTTATTTGTGAGATAAATTTTCGACCTGTGTTTTTAAGATTAATGTGCAGAAATCTATTATGCTCATCGTAGCATTATTGACCGATTAATACTTTTTACTCTTAGTGAAAAGTAGTGCTGCTTAGTCAGAAGTAAAAGAGGCCGCTAAAATTTAGAAGGCATATTGAATTTTTTTTAGCTTTTTTTTTGGAATTCAGCAAATTATTTTTAGCAACTGTCTTACTATTCTACCCAGTTTTATTTCAACCTTCCATTTATGGGTTGGGTACATGTTTTCTCAATGTATCACCTCTCAAATTTAGCTTGAAGTATCAGGAATAGATACGCTTCTCTAAACTATACACTAGACACTTGATTAATTTCATACCGTAAATGCAAATCATATGAATAACTTTGGAACCATCGATGAACTGTGCTTTTTTTGTTGAAGGTGTTGGAAATTTCTTCTGGAACTGGACAACATATAATTAAATTTGCTGAGAAATTTCCTGCTGTTACATTTCAACCATCGGAGGTCGATGCTCGATCACTTCACAGTATTGTCGCATATATTGATCATCACAGAGTGAGTTCTTTACAGTAGCCTTAAATTCATCATCCCACTGTTGTTAGAGTATTTAAAGAAAGAAGCAACATACTGCTAGCTGAGAGAAGTGTAACTCAAGGGCATCAGTGGGTGCAGTGTGTAATGCGCGAGCCCCCGAATGGTAGTCGCGGTTCGATCTGGCCTGTGTGTCTAAATTTTGCGAATATCTCAGGATCACTGTGGTTGAATCTCACATCATACCTTGCCATGAAAACTATAGTAGGCAGTAATTAAATGTTAACATTTAGAAACAACGTAGTTCATTGAAAGTGAACCGAGTACATGTGGAACAGAAAGTTTTGTTGATGTGTTGGGTTTTTTGCTAATATCATCTTGCCTTTGTCGATTATTTTTATGCCATTTGAATAATATTTTATGCATAGAAAACGAATGTGCTTTTGGCCTATATTCCAGGAATGTTCCCTTCTTAAGTTTGTTTCCTAGGGAAGTAGTTTTAGTAAGGCAAGGTTTTTGTGGACGGGATATTCTCGTTAGGTCTATTTTATTTAAAACGAATAATTCAGCTTGCGAATGTTCGAGTGCCTTTGTTCATTGATGTTACTAAACCGGTAAATCACTGGGCACTTCCAGCGGATTATGGACCATTATCAGTGGATGTTATTCTTAACATTAATATGATTCATATAAGTAGTCAAGCTGCGATAGAAGGACTCTTCAAGGTAGGAAAGCTGTATGTTATTCAATTTTTACTCTTATCAAAATATATATTACGACTGGTGGTCTTCCACGGCGCTGTTATGTGTGACGATTCCGTTGTGAACCTGAGGGTATACAGCGCTGCCTCTCACCGTTGCCTTGGTTATGTGTTTGTATTTGTGCTCGGAAACAGCTTACTTTCCTCGTCTGCTACCTCTTAACGCAAATCTAACAAATTCTTCCGAAAGACAACCTCTTGAACTATCAAGTGTAGAATGTAGCTCTTTTCATACCTCTCTGCACACCTTAGATAGGTGAGTCATCGACTGAGTGAAAAAGGTACACCAGGGAAAGTTTACGTGGAGGGATAAGCCCAAAAAGCATCACATTTGATTGGTGTTGTCGCGAATGCCTTAACGCTGATTTTATTTAGGCTTCGGGCATACTATTAAGATTTGGTAATGGTCTTCTCATAACATACGGGCCATATGCAGTTGGTGGTGTAATTTCGCCGCAAAGCAATATCGACTTCGATGCTAGCTTAAGGAGTGAGAACCCCGAATGGGGATTGAGGGATATTCGCGACCTCAACTCGGTAATTATTGCTTAGTCAGAGCCATTTATTTATTGTTTCACATTATTCGTACTTTGTTTTCAGTTAGCCCTAAGTTGTGGTCTTCGATTGGTGGCCCGACATAATATGCCAGCCAACAATTACGTGTTGGTATTCAGACGAGACAATTCACAATTTGATCAAGCAGGTTAGCGGTATAGGACAAGTTGTAGACCTTTTTTATTGCTTCCGTAGGCTGAAATGTTTAAAACATTAAGCAATAATATTGTGATAAGCTTTTTTTCTGTTTCTCAACACAATAGCATAACTTTACGGAGTATGAACAAATAATCTCTGGAAACGATAGACGTATTCATGGCACATACAAAAGAATACAGACCGGAAATCGTAATATAATTCTGGGATGAGATGCGAATAATGGATACATGTTTAACAATTATTAAAATATTAGCCCTTTGCTCACGTAGACATCAAACCCAATCTAATTCGACCTCCATGTTTTCGTCCAAAATTTGATCGTCGTCGTCATCACTCTCGTACTTGTCATTATTGAGCACCGTGCTTTTTGGTTTGCGGAATACTCGTTCTCGCACAGCACCATCGTTACGGATGATATGCACATTCCTTTGGGTTGATTTTGACTTGAATTCGAACGAGGTGAAACGGCCATTGGTTTCTCTGATCTAAAACAGTAAAACCACTAAGACGAAATTATTTAGTAGCCATGACTGCTTCAGCAAGTTACGATGTTTGTCGTTCTACTACTTCAAATGTGCTTGCCTGCTATTCGATTACGGTATTGGTATTTGGTACTTGGATGGCTCGTCTTCACTGGTTTTGCGGACCCTAGCATAATTTCCATTGTTTTGGAATTTTGTTGTTTTAGACACTGTGGTTCCTCGAAGTCTCGAGGTCAACCTGGCCAAAGTCTGCCCCAGGTGTTCACCACCACGGGCAGTCGCAGCCCTTGCGGATCAGAGGGAGATCCGCCACCATGCGACTTTGATACCAGGACGGTGGCGGATCTTGGTATCGGTTTACTCTTAGCTGGGCTTCCTGATGGAAACGCCGGACTCCTTCTCAGCATAAGAGACCCTGCTGAGGGGGATGAATCCCTCGCCGTTCCTCGCAGCCCAACAGCCAGGAACACCTTCCAGCCACAATGAGGCGGTAAACCATTGGAAGGGATCACGGTATTACATTCGCAAAATGGGTGTGTAGTGCAATGGTTAGAGATGCCCTGGAATACATACCCGGTCGTTGATTCGACCCAGCCCAACGGGCTTAGTAAGCCTTCTATCTGTTCCGCTTCGACAAATTAGTACTAGACTTTGCAAGAAGTATAGTAGCACTCAGCTGATAGATCGGTAGGCCACGGCAAGTCATTGTATGTATGGGTCAGATTTGAATTAGATCACCTTCAACGATACTTAATGAAGTGGAATTCAAGACGCAACCTTCAGAGATCCAAAGAGATCAATACCGAGAGTTTTGTACTTTTTTTGTATCTCATTCTTGTATAAATATTATGTTTATGTGTTGCAAAGAAGCTGCAATACAAGATAAGGTGGCTAACGCATAAACGGAACTTACTGCAGGCATTGATCGATTCAAAACAGCTGCCAAACGGTGGTTAAAGAGCTTAAGAGCATAGTCATAAAGCTCTATATCAAGCTCATTATTCTTTCTGATGAGCTTCATTTGTTTGGAAGTGACATCTGTATCATTCGATTTGCTCCGACTCCACGCTGACAGTTGACGATTAAAGCTGTCAAAGGAGAACATGTTTATCATATAGTTTGTATAAGTTCCGTAAAATATACCTAATTTATAGAATACGCAACATTCAAAAGACTTCTACGAAGAAATTAGGTTGAGACTTAATGAGATATTCCATGACGCTTCTTCTTCCGAGTAATAATATATATAATGACAAGAGGATTCAGATAACAAAGACTTCATTCATATTCAAATTTCTGTCCCACTCCAATCACAAAGCACTAATGATATTGAGGGCAGAAGAGAATTAAGACGTTGTATAGATGAATAAGGATTTCTTGTATAGCAGAAATTATTAGATTGAAGTAAACCCTTTAATATCTAAAATGGCACAATCATAGAAGAAATGATGCACCTGATGTTAAATAAGTATTCAAACATCATCTGGCTATCTTCCATTCTTTCCTTAATTCCGAAAAATGTCATGTCCCTGAATTACGACATCGTGATTATCACTTGCATCATAAACAGTCACGTCATATCAAGAATTTAATCCAGAGACTTACATCAAATTTTTCTTCGCACTTTCCAAGAGAATACGGTCTCTCGTTTTCGGATCCGTACTGTTCCGAGAGTAACAGTTCACAAGAGTCAAATCGGCGAGCATTCTTGTTTGGCTGAAGCGCAACTGCATCCGTGAGCGAATTTTCGTCTCTGGTTTTTTAAAAATATTCACTTACCGATTGAAAGCAAGGTTGAAAGGACAATGTAAGAACTCATTCAGGCTAACATCATCCCAACCTTGGTTGGGATCGAAGCATAACGGCAATTCGTCTGACGTAGGCGGGCGACCGTTACAAATATGTCTAAGGTACCAGTCAATTAATCTGAGTAAATGTTGGACAATACATAGCAATTAGATGCGAGTTGACCTTGTCATTCACTTCTCACCTCGAAGCAATCCATGTGGCACCTCGATTGACATGACGATATTCTGAGATGAGTCGAGAGATTGGTTCTCGGAGAAATGTCGTATAGAAGTACCTTCGTGACCGTTGAGTTCCTAGACTCATATTCTTTGAGTTCCAATGAAGCGAATGTTGAAATGCTTATGAAAACATAACAAGGATTTGTCGAACATGTATAGAAATCTCTTCTTATTTAGTTCCTCTTCACGAACGATTATTATCAAGAAATACTATTCTTATCCGAGTTTTTTCTGAAGAAACCTTGGTTAGTCAATGCCTTCATGTCATTGTTTCAGATGAGCTCTAATAATTCGAAAAAAAAAACGTTTAATGAATGTATAGGGTCACGTGTACTGCAGTGACTGGAAGTGCCCTGTAGTGTACATGATCATTGGTTCGATTTCCATAGCCCAAATAAACGAAGCACCCACCCTATCTGGTTCTGCAGATGGGTATTGTACTTATTTGGAAAAGTGAAAACACTAACGTTATAAAGTGCCTAATGGAGGCTTTGTGAATCTTTAAGGGATTGTTCAACGTTGGATTCTTTATCGTTCCACCATATTTAATATATATTTCAGTGATTTCAAACATTTACCTTCCCTTTTGTTGAGCATCTGATCCACACATCCGCTAACGTAAAGCTCTGTGAAGTCTGCATGTAAACCGCATAACCAACCCGTTGAGTAACGAGAAAACAACCAGATCTGAACACCCGACTCAAACTAAGAACCTGTGCAAAGAAGGTACTCACGCCAAAATGACCATCAGATGGTGCAATAATTTAATGCAATGTTAGGAATTGGATATAAACCAGAAAGTGCTGTGAAGTCGAGACAATGGACTAAGTCTATTGTGAAAACGCAGGGTGAATTCCATAGCACAAGTTTTGTTGATGTAATAAAGCGTTTCATCAGTCGAGCACTATATTAAGCTCATCATAAGTGTGTTGATAAAAACTTAGATATGATTTCTCATTCGAAGTCAAAAGTGACAAAGATTTTGAATTCTCGTCGGTTCTAATACATAACAACACGCGTGTAGAACGAATATTTACGAAACAAAATGAGAAGAGGCAATAAACACGGTCATGACGACGTAACGACTCAACAGAATTCATAGGTAATAGTAATGTGAATAGGATCGCTTCTACAGAGACCGTTTTCTTTCTAATAGTTCATTTTGGCACCCAGAACATTTTTTCTATACTTCTTTAAATCAGTCGATGCCTTAACAATGAACTTTCTGCGAACTGTTTCGTTTAGAGGTAATTTGAGTAAGAACTTATTGTTATTCCAATTGTAATCGCTGTAATTAATCACAGTTGTCGTATGGAATTGGTAGGTATAAAAAAGAAAGAATACTTTCCGAAACAGTATCAACTTAAGCTACAAAACACTTCAAGTGCTGAAAACAATGTTTGTATGGTAGATAATAGTAAAGTGCAGCAAATAGTAGAATGCATACCATTCATACCCACAGAACCATAGAACAAAACCTGCTTTACAGTTCGGTCATGTTCTAGCCCTTCAAATCGTCTAGCTGTCGAAAAATAACCGTCTTTTGTCGAAAAAGAATCGTAAATGTGTGGATAACAAGAATGAACTCTTCCTTAGGCCTTAACAAAAGCAAAAAAGAACATAATAGTAAGCAGTTTACCTCCTTTCGTCTATTTGGACGGAAACACGTACATCGTTTCCTTCCTTTAATGCACTGACAAGGTTGCTCAATATTCAGATGGTGAACGAGGAATTTCTCAAACGACGTTCCAGCAGTCTTCTGTATATGAATGAACACTAGCACATCGTTATCGGAAATTGAAAACCTAGATACGCGACAGTATTTTGGCTTTACAAATCCAAGTATAGGATAAATAAAGAAGAAGCACTGTCTTACCCTTTCACCTGATTTGTTATAAGACGAGAAAATGAGGTGTCAAATGATGGAGAATTCGTTTGGACAGTTATAGAGGTATGGTTATCAATAGGACCAGGAACCGTCTCCTTCTCGAGAGCTTCATATTTTGTGAATTGGTTTCTAAACACTTTAGTGAACTGTCAACCTAAATCTAGTGAAATTCGGAAATGCAATGATGACTCATGAACTGTCGGCTAGTAAGCAGAAGATGTTGAGAGTGTTTTTGGAGGTTTTCCTTTCTATAACAAGCTGCTACAAACACTTCGATGTGTGTTAGTTAGTCCAATGTGTGTGATTTCCATACAGACAAATAGGTGTGAACAAATAGATCAGTCAGCATGAATTAATATCAACTCAATTTTCCGATTGTTTATTCTGTCGCAAGAAAACTTCTCTGTACTTTTTGCATTCGGTATGTATCCCAATCAACTTAGGTCAGTGCTGCAAGCGTCGGTTCAGAAAGACTACATTCTTTTTCTTCTAAATTTATACGACGCTTTATATGTTGTACGGATACCAGCACTTCTTCCATTCCTCATTTCCTCACATGCATCATGTATTTGCAGATACGTTCACCTTCTCCTTGAGGACCTTTGTCCTTTTTATGGATTTCGTTGAAGGCTGGTCGAGCAGATCCTCTCAGGTAGATGGCCGTGCTAGAGAGGTTCTCACCACAAGTAATCAACAGCATTGTAGTTTGGATGGAGCTTCTCAGAGAAGCCTGGTAGGCCTATGTGGGGCTTAGGTCTGTGCAGTGTTGAACCAGGATCTTGCACGTATTCTTGAATAGCTTCTCTATCACTTCGCTACTCGCCCTTAAAGCTGTACCTTACAAAAAATTATATCTCGGAAGAGTTTGTACGTCAAGCTACAGAGAATACGATGATGACGAGAACACAAAAATAGCGAAAGGATTACGGAAAAGTGGAGTACCAAGATGTATCTGAGTCCTGCTGTAACATCGAGAAATTAGATGTCTATTAGATGCTGTAGTAGCATAAAATTAGATATCGGAGTCTAACTATTGAATACGAACTGAATTGATTAATTCTTTTCATTCTGAACGATTTCGAAACGCCAAACGATGACTGTTTGTGAGATTTGAGACGATCTTTTTTAATGCGAGAAGAAAATTTCACTCCCAGACTCGCGACGATAAACGTATGTGGAGAAGTAAATTTGCGGAGCTGCATAGAAATCTCAAGCAACTTACGTTGATGAGATGTGATTGAGATACTGATACTGATTACCGGTTGATCCTAAAACGAAAACATCAAACTAATTACACTATCGTACACCACTACTGACTTAATTAGATTAGTGAAGTGGTAAAAGTGCTCACCGATTACAAAGTACAGAACAGGTGTGCATAAAATCACAAGGAAGAATACGATAAACTTCCGAGAACATAACGTAGCATTGATTCTATTGTCTTGACGTTTTAACATAGTAGAATAAGAAACAACACTCGTATAAACATGGCCGATTAGTTCAGTATGAATGTTCAAGCTGAAGAAGTGATTCCGTATGAGATCGCGAAAACTGAACAACCACCGTAACCATACTATGGAAGTGAATCGGAATTAAGAGTTGAAGATTTGTTACATATTGGTAATTCCACATCAGAGAAAAGGAATGCGGAACAAGAAACAGGAATTTGTACAAACCTTTGCTGAGCAGTCTCATAACTATACTTACATATTCGTGTTCAACTTTTTATGCACTCAAAACAATTGGCAACAGATCGACTTCAAAATGAACAGAATTGACTCTAAAAGGATGTAGGCTTCGTCTAGGTCGATCGCCTACATTTCAGTGGATGCATGTATTTATGGACCCTTGGCAAGCAACCGTATTCACAGCTGGAAATGATTTACGGGTCACTAAACGATTCGTAAACGCTACCACACTTGAAATGGACCAAACCACGAACGTCGATCACGATAAAAACGATTCGAGAATAAGCTGTAGAATAAAAAAAACCTGTGCAGCTCTTCATCTTCCGCAAGAAAGTAAGGTAATTGACAGGAACAAAAGAAAAAGTTGTTATTCTCATATCCAAGTGATTAGCACATGAAGAGTTCGCCTCAGTGATTTAGTACAGTATTTTGAGAAGAAACTGTTGTCTATGTACTTTAAAAAATTTGTTAGGGTTAACATGCCATGGTTGGGCACGGTGTTTAACTCATGAGGGTGCACTCTTAACAAAAGGGGTAAAAACAAAGGTAATGAGATTTAAAAAATGTGGCACCCTTTATCCTCTGCGAGCAGCTTAGGTACTCGATAAGAACAAAGGGAAAGGTTTACAGGTGTTTCTACGGGATTATAGGTGCTAACTGCCAGATATTGAATGTTGGCTTAACATGTGCAATAGATATTGTACTTAATTCATTTATAAAGCTAACTGCTGTGTAACGTACAATCAACTCGCAGATCACTTAAAAATATAGCGTATGGTGAGTTTAGCGTTGGTGTTCAAGCAATAGCGTTATTTGTACGCTAGTGGAAGCCTCCTATCACACATCGTGCCGACATTCATTTGAACAACTGAGCTGGAATTACTAAGTAATCACTTATATTTTAACACAGTACACTCCACTGTATAACCTCTATGAAGGTTTCCTTCATTAAATGGAGTAAGAAAATTATCCGAAGTAACTTGCTTGTATTTTATTACCCCATCCGCCCCTATGAACATTATACTGTCCATATCAGTTTTAAGGCTTCCAGAGATTTTCTTCACCGTTCTATTTATATTTATTCGATAAAGGCTCTCTAAAGCACTCGGCGTTGATCAATCCCCTAGGGATGCACCATGCGTTCGACTTCATTATGCATTGTTTGGAGATTGTTGAATGCGTCTCTGGCTTTTACAATGACTCGTGGGGGCTTATCGATGCATCGACCTAGTGCTGCTATCCTCCCTTACAAGTCTGATACTAATTTTTCGACCCCGGAGGAGTGGAAGGCTTGGTGGGGTCCATGGGCGCTGGGATCGATTCCACGTGTGTGTTGCAGGGCGCCTCCGACTACTGCGCGACACGCGCCCTTATTTATTCGATAGCTTGTCGAAACTTAAAAGAAATAGGAGGAATGAGGTCAAAAAAATCATTCTCTATACTTAATATACAAAAAACCTTTTTAAAAAGTGTTCATCGACCGATAACTTGACCAACAATTTATTTCCGATGATGCTGAGATATTTGCAAAACTCTGGACCGCAGGTGTATGCGGTGGGGAACGAACGCGCTACTGTCCTTTCCGGGGAGTAACGCGTTCACCACCACACCATGCGGGTCCTTCGTTTCGCCTGTCTCTTAGCTAGTTCTATCGATCTTTGCCACAGCAATCACCCATCCCCGAAAAGGACAATAGTGCGTTCGTTTCCCACCGCATATACCTGCGGTCCGGAATTTTGCAAATATCTCAGCATCATTGAAGTTATATTTCACAAACCCTGCCATTAAAAAAAAGAGTAGGCAGAAAGTAATACGTTGAAATTGTGATTACAATAATTTATTTTTACTTCGTTTTATCCGTATTCTCATTGTATGGAATGTGCGAATATAAAAGACACCTAAATGAATTCATCATAGGATGCGAAGTACTTCCAAGCGCTGACAGCAATACATTTGCATAATGGACCATAGTAACACGTCAAATAGGAATAACCAATAGAGCGATAGAGCAAAGTCTTTTTTACAATACCGTCGAGATAAAAGCCCCTCAAGTGCTTTCATTATTGAGAAAAGGGTTTTTTGTTTTAAAAAACTGGAAGGTCTGTAACCGACGAAGAAATGTTCGTATTCGATTGGATCGGGCACGAAAACCGGCAACAGGGGTAATGAGTAAACGTGTTTCTCACAAAGAATAAGAGAATGCTTTAGTTTTAAAAACAACCGCTCAGTTCTGTCACATATCACAGGAAAACCGAACTCAAACAAGCCAAAGTATGTGTGATTTCGATTTCAATTGTTTTTTTCCGAGTTGTTCGCTCACACAATCTATAGCTGGTTAGTGCACATCATTAAATGAAGTAGTTATGGCACATATGTACTGTCAATATACCAATAGGAGAAAAATGAACTTAATCGATCTGATGAGGAATAAGGCGAGAGTTGAGGAAAATCGCTGTGGTGGGGCGGCCGCCCGATCTGACCCGACGGCAACGGTTGCGACCGGCTGGGCGAGCGCGCTCCCACTCAACAGATGTTCGGCGGCCGAATGATGAATGAATGACTGGGCACAGATGTGGACGAAATCCATCGTCGCTCGTTTTGCATTCATCCCAATGCATTCGCTGAATTTAAATACCATCATAGTACTGTTTCCAAGTTATTATACACTTCTAATTACTATTCTATACAGTTTTTAACTGTTATTTCAGTTAATCGCATATTAATAATGGATTTATTGTAACCTTTCATCAATAGACAAATTTGTACATGATTCATTCTAGAAGGTTCCGTATGCCAACATTCCAGTGCTTTCGACTCACGTCTTTTTGTTTGTTTTCTCTACTTTCAACTTTTTCTCCCAGTATTCCATTCAGAATGTACTCAACGGTTAAATACTCCTTCATAAATACGTGTCTATCTGTAGTGGTTTTTTTTCTCATATCCTGTCTTTTCTACTTGAATGCAATATGTGTCTTTTTTGCAAAGTGATACGTACTGATAAGACTTTATCTGATAGTCCTTATCTCATTTGTTTGGTTCTTTTTATTTACATTTTTAATAAATATGTTCCCACTGGACTTTTTTATTACTGCTTTTTCAATCCTCATCCCAGCTGTTTACCCCGTCATCGTGACTGGGAAGTGTTCCTGGGTGGCGGGCTGCAATGTACCGCGGGGAGATTCATCCCCTAGCGGAGTCTCTCAAGCTGAGAAGAAATCCGGCGTTTCCATAAGCAAGTCCAGCTAAGAGGAAATCAATACCAGGATTGGCTATCGTCCTGGTATCAAATTAGTTGCATGGTTGCAAATTTCTCTCTGATCCAAAAGGGCGGTGACTGCCTGTGATGGTGATGACCTGGCGCAGACTTTGCTCAGGCTAACTTCGGGACTCCAGAGAACCACAGCGGTTAAACCGGCAAAACTCCGAAAAAAGGGAAATTATGGTGGGGCCCGCACAATCAGTGGAAACGGGCCATCCAAGTATCCAAGGGAGTAAGTTTTCAATTTTATGTCGTGAATTACGTTATCGCTAGTATATCACCATATTGATTACGGAGCACTTTTTTGTTACGTAGTTGGTGAACATTTGTTTGACTAGTTCTTTTTTTTTGTTGCGTTGATAAAAAATAGTGAAATCTGTTTGCTTCGTTTACTAAATCAGATTTTTTTCTATGGAGCTTACTAGTGTACGGTGATTTCGTGGGTTCTCGATCGGGTATTGGTCTCATCTCGTTGTCGCTTTGCTTTATGGTCACTTGAATGCTGTAACTCTAGATTACACTGTTATCGATGCGGTAAGCACGACAGACACGTGGGACATCTTCTTTATAGTAGAAGTTTATTTAGCATGCCAAGCGGTGCCGATCATTCAACGCTCTACGACCCGACTGTAATACATTATAGATAGCATTGCGATTGCTTAAATTATGTTAATGGTGGATTTTTTAGATAGGTCTTCTTTGTGTGTTCAATCTCATTGTTGGTACTGGAGCATTGGCTTTACCAAAAGCGTTTCAGACCGCCGGCTATGTCCTCAGTATAGTTGTGCTTGTGATTTCATGCACTGTAAGGTACGAGTGTTCACTTCAAAAGAGATAAGTAGCAGCTAATTTTCCATTTTAGTTATATATCAGCAACATTTGTTGTTGAAGCGCTTTCTGTAGGAAATGCAGTTAATGTGCGCAAGCGCAGAGAAGAGACACAAGCTTCGGAATTCGATGGTAAGCATCACAACACAACAGATTTTTCAACATCTGTGTCAAAAATGCTCATCGTGCTTAAGTCTTCATTTCCACTAGATCGAAGTCTTCAAGTAGGTCGATTCCCTTCCAACAACTTCTAAAAAGTTGATTTTCAGATGTGGTTATTAGCGAAAGTGGCCCCTCTTCATTTGAAATCAACGAAAAAATTGAACTCGTGAGTATTAATTCTTGGTTTAATTTTTTCTATATTGTTATGTGAATTCTCTCTCATGTATATTCCTTCTTCTGTATAGAGTCAAATGGCTTCGATGTTCCTCGGTCGATGTGGAGTCGTTTTCAGTCACCTTGCACTGAATATTTATCTCTTTGGTGATCTAACCATATACTCCACCACGGTTCCCAAATCGTTGATGAATATTATATGGTAGGGATATTTTGTGAATATATTTCTTTCCGTTTTCACTGTATAAACAGGAAGTTTCCTTTTGCAGTGCACCTGTGAACACATCCACTGTTCTGCCTTCTGATAATTGTCGAGATAACTGGCCAGCATTTTTCAGTCGTTTTATGGGTAACCATGGATTAATTTGATTAAGTGGCTTGACTACATCATCGAGCGGGGTCTATTCTCTTCAAATCATGTGTTTAGTATATCGATTTTGTGTAATTCTGTTTATTATGGTGTGTACTCCTATGGTTCTCATTGGTATAACAAAAACTAAACATCTACAACTTGCTACGACAATCTCTCGGTGGTCAGGTGAGATTTAGAACGAAATAAATTTGAAAGCTATGTCAAGTTATCTTAATTCGATCTCACTATTATGCGACAAGCCACTTGCCTAAATAATACTTTTATCTACTGCGCACTACTTTTTTCATGGCACGGTATTATGTGAAAAACCACCGCAATGATGCTGAGGTATTTTCAAAACTTGGATCACAGGCCAGATCGAACCGCAATTACCCTTTTTGGGGGCTCATGCGTTACGCACTGCACAACTGAGGTCCTCGTTCTGCCTTTCTTTCAGCCAGTCTTTTTACCTTAACACTGCCATCAGCAATGACCCATCAATGGGAATAATCTGGTGAGCACAAATCGACATTAGATCCAGTTAAGCTGAGGCTGATTACTGGAAAGAGTAATCGCGTTCCATTCTGGCCTAAGGTCCAAGTTTTGCAGATACCTCAGCATCAGTGAATCAATAATAGTTGAGAAAAAATTAGATACCCTATAGAACAGGCTTAGAGTTACCCATTTAGCCTTTATTCTGATGATCGTTCTGGCTTCTGCACAAATGATAACAAATGGCGTTCCCGGGACTCCTCCAGCAGTGAATGTTCATGGCTTCGGTTCGCTTTTCGGAGTTGCGGTTTATGCGTTCATGTGTCATCACAGCCTTCCATCTCTAATCACACCTATGAGGTATTAATTATATTTACTTATATATCTTCTTCATCTATCAGCGATAAACTTGCTATTTCTAGTTCTAAATCGGGAGTATTTGCGAAACTTCTTTGTGTATATGTACTGGTCATATCATTTTATTTCACTCTTTCTTTAACCGGTTCTTTTGCGTTCGCCAATGTACAGGTACGGTTTCAAAGTTATCTCATGATTGTTTCAAATGAAAAAATGAAGATGAAAGAACTCTTGAATCTCATTGAAATTCTAATGAGATTCACCGCTTAGTTGCTATTTGCTCAAAGGTTCAATCTTTTCTGTTTTCTTTCTTTTGAATACTTAGATCACAGAAAGGTTTCCACAATTTCTTGATCACTTCGTTCCCCACAATTACATCTGTGTGGATTAAGTTAGACCATTTTGACTTTCTCAGTAAATCTTTTTAGGACGTCTACACTCTCAACTTTCTTCATGACGACTTTACGTCGTTGTTCTATTTTATCTGTGATCATTTCTTAGCAATGTTTCCTGTGTTCACCCTCACAACTAACTATCCCATTGTTGGCATTACGCTTATTAATAATATGCGAGTTGTTCGGGATATGGTTTGGGATATGGTAATGCCTACAAGTTCTCGGTGAGTCCTCGCTTTTTCCCGTGACTTTCAAATCGCATAGAAGCGTTACCTAACGTCTAACCTCATGGAAATGATGTGATTCAGGGTTCTTTCTGAAGAAGAGTCTCTTCTACATGATGATGATCAGCATGATTCTGGGCTGCGGAGAAACACTCGTTACGATTGTATAAGTCTTCAGGTTGTTTTACTTCACAAATTATGTCTAATGATGGTCATAGTGAGCAAGATATGCTCAACATGGCCATTTAAATATCCATGTTAGCTCGAATTCTCCCATGTCATCATTTGCACTTGTAAATTAGTTGTTTTACTGAAAACCATAACATCTCCTGTACCAATGCTTGCTTTTACGTTTGAAAAATACATATACAACGTTCAACCCCTCGATAAAATATTTCATTTAAATTCAGCCGTACGACATAATGGTTCCGGTCTTTGCAATAGCGTTACCAACAACAGTTAGCCTAATGACGGATGATGTTCTTCTGCTGGCTACTGTAACAGGTTGCTATCCAGGTAAGCAACTTGGGAAACAGAAAAGACGGCAAAATGTATGGAAGGTAAGAAGACCACTAGACACGTTCTGATTTCTTTCCCATATTTTTCCACACGTTTTATAGCCTACAATCACTTTTTTAACACTTATGGACCAGCATGAGTTGATTCTCACCCACACAGTGCGAAAATAATGACTACTTTTAAGGTTAAACCAACATATCTCAGCTAAAAGTGAACTTCATTAATGAAGATAAAAGCCTTAAAATCTAAAGATTCTACAGGAGAAGTTCTCTTTTGTTTTATCATTCTTATGATGACCATGATGCGACTCTTATTCTTTGGAATCCACCAAACATATTTTGAGCACTTTTTCTTTTGGTCGAGGTTTGTACTTTGAAAATGAAAGCAATTGAACAACCGGTATTTCTTCCATTAATATAAAGATGTCTCGAAATGCATTTATTTTTGAATTTCATCTTCATCTCATCAGAAAACTTCCATTATAAGCAACTTTAAAGAACAAATGACGGTTTTAGTGGAAGATCCGTACTTTCGGATAGATAAAGCAAAGTGTCTCCTGTAAGCCAATAACCTTTCTAACTCCTCAAATTTTCTAGTTATCGAAAAATTATCAGCAACTTGCGAAAAACCAGCTTCGAGATCAGTGTTAAACAATACGGCTAGTTATGACAGACAACCGCAATGCATGCGCATACATTTTGTGATAGGTTGTTCCTTGGAATGAATGAAATAAAGATATGTTACTATTACTATTTTATAGGTGTTGTAGTACAATTCCTTATTCCGTGTTTATTGGTTATGAGATCGCGAACGTACGCAAAGAGTGTGCTCAATTTCCCGGTGCCGAAAAGATATGCTAGTCCCTTCCAATCCAGTTACTGGCCATATGCAATATTTGTCTGGTCCGCGTTCGCTGTCATTATGGTTACTCTCAACATTCTTGGTTTTCGGTTTTAGTTTCGTATCACTTTCTTTTCTACCTCATAAATGATAGCATTTACGCAGGTGATACTCTCAAGATTTTACCGTCGTATATGGTTCATACATTCCACCTGTACCTGTTAATGTTCTCCTAGGCAATGTTTGTTTTGATTTACTATCGTATTATACCCATATGTTTGTAGCATATAGGTTGAAATTGAATAATGAAAACGGAAATTGTGGCAGTCACATAAATCACAGAAGGCGAAATCACCGGAACGAAATGTCAGCTATTATTGAACAAATTTTGTTGTTGACCGCCACAGGTTAGATTAGCTAGGTACTGGGATATCAGATGAGATTTTTTTTTCCCCGTACTAGCTGCTAACAGAATTCCAAAACAACTAGCAAGTCATGAGAACTAGAAAATAGAGTAACTAGGAAAAAACCTGAATAAATCATAGAGATCTCAGATGAAATATTTTTCACCGTACTAGCTGCTGAAGGGATTGCAAAACAGCTAACGGGTAATGAAACGCAGAAAACAGAACAAATAGAGGCTAAACTATTATTTAATTATAGAGATGAACAAGTTCATCCTGATTAACATCGTAATCGTTAAATTTGAGTTAGTCGATACCACCTTCCGAGAAGTCCCATATCGTAAATCTTTTTGAAGAATTCGTTCCAGATCCAATCTTTGAGATTCTTGTCCTGTTATTCGTATATCCTCACCTGTAAGTAAAAAAAAAAGTATGCCATAATTATGATCTAATATCACAAAAAATATTTACTAGAAAAGAAATAACTGACCTACGAAAACTATATTTAGCGTAGAAAAGAACAAAGGCAAGAGTCATATTTTACAATAACTTATACCGGAACTAACACCTTCTTAGAAAAGTTTAACAAAGACCTTGAAACCACTCACTGAATAGTCACATTCAGAGCGAACTAATAACTAGAAACACCATAAATTATGGTAATGTAAATGGTCCTGCAATAGTAGTGTAGATCTCTGGGTAAACTCGGCTTCTGGAACATGTTATATCTTACCGCTCATCGTCATGAGACGAATAAACGAACTTACCACTTTCTTTATTGTGTATGGAGGCTGGTACAATTGTCATTGATTGACGTAATTCGCACAACTAATCTAACATACTCGATTCTGAAGGATTTGTGAGATATGCGTACACGAATCCACTTAATCCGATGAAATAAATCTCTCTAATAAACAGTTCGTAAGAGATACATAAAACGATTCCTGATAGAAGTATAAGACTTCATACCTCCTAAAGTTAAGAACTGACCAGCCTTTGCGCGCTTCTCGATAAATGCTTCAAATGTTTCTTTAGCGACTATCCTATAATCATTTCCAGCTGTTCGCCAGTAATCAGTGAAATTCCTACCCACTTTCCGAGAAAATCCAGTAGCTCCAGCAATGATGACAGACGCTCTACGTTAATATTGCATATCGTTGTCACGTTAAAACTATTAGGATGGTCGGCAATTATAATCTGATTTTTGATTTCGTTTTCCTTGTATCTGTTTAGCAGCTGTTTTTCCTTCTCGAATGCTGTACTATTACGTATGATTCCAAAACTCATGCATTTCGCTCCGTATAAAGGATAAAACTCTCGGCGTTGATCAAACCCTGAGGGATTCGTCATGCATTCGACTTCATTAAGCATCGTCTGGAGGTAATTGAATGCATGTCTGGCCTTCACAATGACTCGTGGTGACCTACCGATGTATCGAACCAATGCTGCTATCCTCCCGACCTCGGAGGGATGGAGAGCTTGTTGAGCAATGGGCGCGGCGATCGATTCTGTGTGATGCAAGGCGCCTCTGACCACTGCGCCACACTACCCATTTCGCTCCGTATAGTTGGATTATTATGAAAACTGTGTTTATAACAAATTTTAAAGGTTAGTATTTCATATGTGGAAACAAAACAACAAGTAAAAAAGGGCGTGTGTGGCGCAGTGGTCGGAGGCGCCCTGCAACATACACGTGGAAATGATCCCACACCCATGGCCCACCAATCCCTCCATCCCTCAGGGGTCGTCAAATTGGTATCAGACTTGTTTGGGAGGATAACAGCACTGACTCTATACATCGGTAGGCCACTGCGAGTCAGGTATGCATTCAATCAGGGCGCATCCGTCAGGAATTGATCAACGCCGAGAGCTTCAATCTTTACCCTTTTTATGTCAAAACAGCAATTTCGACAAATATATAAATCCACATTCAGAAGTAAACAAAGGAAACGGCTCGAAACATTGATAAAGTATGAGTATACAGTAGTTTTAATGAACGCACAGTGCAATGTTGGTTTGAGAAATGTTGTCATTGCGGATTCTACCCTAAAAATGAGGAAAGCCTCGGGAGTCGGGCATTGGTGACGATGAACTGGATGGCTACCTGTAAGCCTGCAAGCGAATACATACAACTGTTTGGGAACTTACACAAGACCTTATTCTAAGTAGTTCGACTGTTTCAGAGCACTTGAAAAGTTGAAAAGTCGAAAGAGCTCGACAAATGAATGCCACACGAATCGAATAACAATTAAGGGAATCGCCCTTTTAAGGTATCATTGGCCCTTCGTCTGTGCAAAGAGAAGGACTCATTTCTCCACCGCATTTTTGGTATGCGGTAAGGATCCTCTACGATAACGAGAAACGATCGCCTCAGTGGTTGGACCGCAACGAAGCTCTGAGGCATTTTCCAAACGAAAAATTGAACTAAACTGGCCCCACCGCATGCATAATACTCTCCTCCAATCCGCATGGGAGCCCCATAGCTAGTCTATCGCAAAGATTGCAAATGAGAATCGACGTGACCAGTACACTGTGACACTCATGAAGAAGACGAAATCTTCAAGCATAAGCCGAAACGTGAGGAAAACGAAATGAATGCAAGAAGTGGTGAGATCCGCACAGTAGACTTGATGGTAAGTCATGTAAAATAAAACGAGAAGGTGAACAAAAAGGTCGAGCTGACCATTTAGTGGTCATCAGAAGCTTTTATCTATTACAATGTCCTGGGTTTCCTTAGGTAAAACAATAACAGCAGAAGAGGGCATCATGTAAATCGAAAAAAAAATGGCACTAGAAACTTCAACACCTGTACCCGATTGGTTAACAGATTGGGACCAATTCTACTCCACGAGAATGAGCGACCACCCATCGCACGCAACACTGAGGTCGAACGACCTAGGCTACGAAATTTGCCTCATCCACCATAGTCGCTTGACCTCTCGCCTTAAGAGTTTACAGTTTTTCAAGCATTTCAATAAGTTCCTGTCCGAGAAATGTTTCAGAAAGCAAGCCGAGGTCGAGACTGCCATCAACGATTTCAATGCCTCGAAATGTCTAGAATTTTAAGCAAGCGGTTTAAACAAACCTGTTTTTTGTTGGTAAAAATATGTGGACTCTACTGGTTTCTATTTCAAATAATTTTTTCCTGGGTTGAGATATGATACTTTAAAAACGCAGGTTGGAATCGGACATTAACCTCCGGAGAACTTTATAAAACCTTATCTCTATAAAAGAAGTACTATTCTGAGACTAAGCGACAGCCACATTAAGACATATATGCATTAAATACTTTATCGATTAAATCACCTTGTAAATAAATGTTGACATGGAAAAATGAAAACTTTGTTGGGTCCGTTCGAGTTGTTCGGTGATTAAAAAAATAGGTGACAGGTGAAGCGTACTTGATACAAACAAAGTGGTCATCTTCCCAAAGTGAAAATTGAAAATAAGGAGGGATATGGCTCTCACGCGTGTGCTAATGCACTTTCTTACGCTTTGCATCATTCCAGTACAGAAAGAACTGTACAAACAGAACTGCATTGAGAACAGCAGAGAGTGTATACGCAATGATCAGTAGATTATCACCAGTCTCCTGTACGGATGTGAACACTCGAGCAATTGTACCTGAAAGACCAAGTATTTCCAAAAATACTGTACTTGAGGTTAGAGTTTTCTTGTCGCTCCATTAACGACCTTAATTTAGCACGATATCTTTTTAAATAAGAATAACAATCAGAAGTCAACGCCAACAAGGACATCACCCCAATTGGTAAGACAGATTTGTAGCAATCTATGTTTGAATTGCTCGGCATTATTACATAAACATGAAATTTGTTGATAAAAGGACAATCAGTGAAATTCAGTCTTCACTCACTGAAATCTAATTGTTGTGTGCAATCTTGGACAGCATTTAACTAATCGTAACGGTCTTTAATGTGACTCCTGTTCACTTCCTTCCTTCACGATTGTTGTGGGTACAATGTTTTGCGCACAATAACATAGCAAATACCATTCCAAAAACCCAAACTCGCATAAACATACGAATACAGATGGTTAAAGGGATAAAAGGATAAAGCTTCCGGCGTTAATCTATCCCTGAGAGATGCGGTATGCAATTCAACTTCAATAAGCATCGTTGGAGGTGATTGAATGCATATCTGACCTATACAATGACTCGCAGTGGCCTACCGATGTATCGAGCCAGAGCTGCTATCCTCCGAGACAAGTCTGGCATCGATTTGCCGACCATGGAGGGATGGAAGTGGACCATGAGCGCCGGGATTGATTCCACGTGTGTTGCAGAACGTCTCCGACCACTACGCCACACGCGCCCTTATAGATGGTTAGCATGAGCGAATAATACGTCCTGCTATCATTTTAGTGGCCTCTCTCGAATATACATACATTTTATTCTGGTCGTCTTCTGTTTTTCTCGTCCATTTGTTGTTATCTCTTTGTCCAACATTAATGCCCATTTATGCTTTAGATTTATACTACACAGCATTACGAACACATATTTGTTCACAATGCCCAACGAATATCGCTGAGAGTACTTCCGTTTAAGCTCTAGATAATAGTTTAATATTCGAGCGAAAGCTAGACTGAAAGCTAAAAGGCCTACGTAACCGTTTTGATAAAGCCTATATAACAAAACCGTTTGGAATCCTGCATACAGAACCGATTTGCTTCATACGTCTTTCATATATGCAGTGGTATAAACGCCATGAAGATCTTGAACAGCTCACCTATCAAGCAAGTCAGAAGATAGTTACGATGACCCTTTTAGTGAACTGTTGTTGATATGATAGCCATCTTAAAGGTACTTTAGTTGCCAGCAACTATTTCGTCTTTAGACAATGTTATGCAAAAAGTAAATGTTAATTGTAACTTTCAGTGCATAATTAACATATTCACGATAATGTGAACCTAAATGTCCAAAAGTGACGGTGCTATTAAACGATAGTGTAGTGTCCATTTTCAGTTCAGTTACTTACAAAGCTTTTTTACGACGCCATATATATATATACATATGTATAGCATACATATATACATATATATATCCATTCGATAGCCAATCGAAAGCAAATCAGTGTAGAAGAGTTCAGACCAGAAAAGCCATTCTCCACACTTAATGATTTATGAAACACATTTTTTGTAAAAGTAGACTGCCCTCTAATCACGGGTTATTGTGTGGTATACGCGGAAATAAAAAATACCAACATAAACTTAAGTTGCAAACCCTTGTAAATGCCTCTAACAATGTGCATACATGATGGATCATAGTAACACAGTAAATATAATAGCAGCATGCATACTATTCGTACCCACAAAACCACAAAGCAAAGTGTCTTCCACAATGCTGTCATGTTCACAACTTCTGCGATGCCCTAGTTAACGAACAATTTTTGCTTGTTGTCAAAAAAATTGAAAAATAACAAGTCTGTAAAGGCTGAAAACTAGGTCTTGTTCTAAGCGACTCAAGAGATAAACGTCATATGTCGCCAATATGTTAATACGTATAACAACGTCGAATATTAGGCTGTACCTTAGGCTTCATCGTTTTGCTCGTAACCCGGACATCAGAGGAAAAAATCCAGAACCAGAGTTCTTCCTTCGCAGAAAATTCAATAATTTCGTGCTGGAAACGAGTAAAGTTTGACTAGGTCTTCTGCATCACATAGTTCGTATTCTTCGCATTCTGGGTGGGTATAGATCTCCGTTATGTTAAGTATCTCGAGATAATTGGCCGTGAGGGCACGTCACACGTTTTCGGGTAATGGAAAATGGGTAGGCTGAGGCCTAAAAGGTGCTATTTAATTACAGCCGGGCAAAGTGAATTGAGGTGAATAAATTGCCCATCTGTTTTATCACACTGTCTCATACCTTCCATATATACATAAACACAACCATGAACGACCTTTCCATATATGCATATTGTGCCGGTATACACGTCAGCACACAAACACATGTATTCAAAAAAAAATTTAAACAGCAAAACTACATGCTCCATTCTGGTGCCCAAAAAAGGCTCCAATACAACAAATGGGGAAAGTCAGGTACGGAGATACCGTCTAAACCACAGGCTCACAACAAGATGACAGAATTTGGATTTAGATTTAGTGACGATGTTGACTTAAAATGAACGCACTCTAGCAACGGAAGTCCCATTGTGAATTTCATGATGCAGATTTTATTCAGTTGAGATACATCTGGCTTTAGAGTCGCCATATTGATGCACATGGAAACTGCAGAGACCAAGCGTCAAGCATTTGATTTCTTCCTTTAATCATAGATGAATACGACTCTTTGCCCTGGGTAAACCACATAATCACCGTAACACCGGCGCCTTCTCGCAATATGGCTACAGCTTAGTTGCTCATTCTTTGTAATGCCCCGATCTTTTGATACTGGGATTAAACCTCTCAACGGTTTACCGCCTTATTGTGCCAGGGAGGTGTTTCTGGGTGTTGGGCTGTTATGTACAGAGGGGAATTCATCCCCGTAGCAGGGCCTCCCAAGCTGAGAAGGAGTCCGGAGTTCCCATAAGGAAGCCCACCTCAAAGCAAACCAATATCAGGATCCACCACCGTCCTGGCATCAAACGCATGGTGGCGAATCTCCCTCTGATCCACAAGGGCGGCGACTGCCTGTGGTGGTGACCTGAGACAGACTCTGGCTAAGCTCACATCGGGACTCCTGGGAACCACAATGGCTAAGCCAGGAGAACTTCGAAATGGAGATTATACAACGGTCCGCACAACCAGTGAATACGGGCCATCCAAATGTCCAAGTAAGTTGTAAACTTAAAAAATTAGAAATATGAATCACTTAGTTCTAGAAATAAACACGAGGATAAAAATGGGTCGCAGAGCTTCAAAAACCATCGTGGAGTTTGTAGAAAATGGAAAACACGTATTCGGTATTTTTGAACACGCTATCGTAATGTTAGGAATATTTCGTACCATGCAAATGACAGCGAGAATAGTGAACCACGACCTATGTAGCAAATCGAGGACAAAGGATGCCCCAAATTACATGTGTACAAAACAAGAAAACTGAAGACATCAAGCCTATGAATGACAACTTACAGAAAGCATTCGTCACTGATTTTGTCCCCCTGTCAGGACACAGATTAAAACTTCTAATTCCTGAATACACTGTACGAAAAATGTGATACCTATGCGTATTATACGAATCTCGGATGGCTCAAGACGAAAAAAAACAGTCCAATTCTATAAATAAATGTTTCGTTAGACAAATATTCTTTACAGAAAGAGACAAGAGGATACTAAAGTTTCAGAAAGTACAAGAGTAGGTTTTACTTATGCAGTTAATAAAATACTTAACAACACGAGAATGATATGTTAGAATCCCCGTCATAACATAGCAAATGACATGAATATCAGCAATAAAGCATTCCATTATGAGTCGAACTCAGTAGTACAGAATATGCTATCAAAATAAATTATGAGCACACAAATAGGAAATACTCCCAACGGTTTACCGCCTCATTTTGTCTGAGAGGTGCTTCTGGGTGTCGGGCGGCGATGTACAACAGGGGATTCGTCTCCCTGGCCGGGTCTCCGAAGCTGAGAGGGAACCCAGAGTTTCCTTCAGGAAATCCAGCCAAGAGCAAACCAATACCAGGATCCGTCACTGTTCTGGTACCAGACTAGTTGCGTGGTGGTAAATCTCCTTCTGATCCACAAGAGTGGCGACCGGGTGACGACCTGGGACAGACTTTAGCATGCCTGACCTCGGGAGACCAGGAAACCACAATGACAAAACCAGCAAAACTCGGAAGAAAGAAAATTATGGTGGGACCCGCACAACCAGTGAGAACGGGCCATGCAAGTATACAAGTAAGTAAATAAGAAACAGAAAGGAAAAATGGTAACAGCAACGATAAAATGAAAATCTGTTCCACCACAAAACTCACCTGCCAATTGCAACGACGACGAAACGAGTGATAATTGACCTGTGCTTCGATCCTTGTAGTTTTGCAAAATTTGAATCGACTGGAAACAATAGATGTGAAACAAAAAGGGTACTGGATAAACTAGAGAAACAACGAAGAATTCCGAAATTCATTAGCCTGAAGAGCTTCAAATAACGTATGACATTCCATTTACATTAGCATGGCATCAGCGACCCATAATGTAAATTTTTCGCCTGTCTTTTGGATCTTGAAAATTGATGTGGGATTCTAAACTATCGCCAAAGCGGAAAAGATATTCCACTTCCACACAATCGAGGCGAAAGTTTGCCATTTGTCGACCAGGGTTTTTTCCAAATCAGCTTATGTTCACTTTTGGCTGAGCTACTAAATGAAAAATTTAAGCTTTTCTTCAGCTTATATGACTCGACTGAGAAAGAAATCCACTAATGCTTTCGCAATTCAATATCTAGAAACACGTCGTTGTCACGGCGAATAGCAATAAACCATTAAAGCAGAATTACTATTGAAAATAGATGGAAATTGTATACAAAATTACTTATGACTAGCTGCGCATGTGGCACAGTACTAGGCACAGTACTGGTCGGGTGCGCCCTACAATAAACACGGGATGGTTCCCCGCGCCCAAGGGTCGTTTCCATCATTCCGTGGTCGCTAAATTGGTACCAGCCTTGTCCGGAAGGATAGCAGCACTGGCTCGATACATTGATAGCCTACCGCGAGTCATTCTTAGGCCATGCATGCATTCAACCCCTCTGACAATACCCAAAGAAGTTGAATGCATGGCGCATCCCTCAGAAACAGATAAATTCCGAGAGCTTCATCGCTTTACTTCTACCACAAGCCCATGTTCCAGCCATATAAAATATTTAAACAAAGCCGAACATGGAAAATGCGAAAGAGTTCAGGCAAGGAAATGGTGGTATGAAATGGGAGAAAAGATAGCTTTAAATATGCAAATACAATAAAACACTAACTTTAGATGCCACTACAATCGGGATGGCCAACGCTTGCAGTGCAGTGAGGATTTGTGTTGGAACGTAGTTTCCGATCACGGCAAAAACAGAAGCCCAGCTAAAATTATACATTTTGGTTGAATAGAAGGCGACTGAAAGTTATTTCAAAGTAAACTTGCACTAAAATTGAGAAAAGTTCAAAAGCTATCTTTTAACAACACTAATAATATAAACACACACCTATCTTTGGATTACTTAATTGGATACTTGGATGGCCTGTCTTTACTGCTTGTGCGGGCTCCAGCATAATTCCTATCTCCTCGGAGTTTTGCTGGTCTAGCCACTGTGGTTCCCTGGAGTCCCCAGATCAGCCTGGCCAAAGTCTACTGCAGGTCGTCATCACCACAAGCAGTCTCCGCACTTGTGGACCAAAAGGAAGATGTGCCGCCATGCGATTACTTTGATATCAGGACGCTAGTAGATCCTGGTATTGGTTTACTCTTGGCTGGCGTTCTTGGTGGAAACGCTGGACTCCTTCTCAGCTTAGAGGACCCTGCTATGGGGATCAAACCCAACCCCCCCCCCCCCCCCCCCCCCCCCCCCCCACTCCCCCTTGGACACCCAGGAACACCTTCCAGCCACGATGGGGCCGTAAGCCGTTGGGAGGCATCTTCCAGTTGAAGTACAAGTATACATAACATGATGTTTAACCGATTAAGAAAAAAAAGACTAACCAGAAAGCAAAAAACGCGAAAGCATATGCACTAGAGTCCGAATAGTACAATATTTGCATAACAATTATCATCAGTTGAAGAGCTATGAAGAATGAGTCACCATATTGACTGAAAATACGGACATTTCTGGAAAAACCCAAGCAAACTGGTGGATAAATTGATCACCTGAAAACAAAACCCTGATTGAAACTGTATGAAGCAGTCCCTGCGGCTGCCATAAATGCGAGAAGTTGCGAAATGATTGAAATTCCCTTAAAACGTTATCAGAGCCTTGAATAGTTCGTAAACTAAGCGCTAATCGTCTTAACGTACCTTAGCGTTTTTTGCATTGAATATCTTAAGAATCTGCGGTACGAAGAGAATCGCTGAAGCGAATGTGATGCCGATTCCAAGCACGCGACTTAACACTATTTGTGGACATGTTGCTAAACAAAGGGAAGATGAATTACAACAGTAAAAGTTGTAGCAGTAAACCAATAAAAAAGATGTTATAAGACTCACGATGAAATATGTTAAAGTTAATAATCAACTCTTCGAAGCAATTTCTCGGAAAAACGAAATGAACTAGATCATAGAAGCGATTCTGAATCGTAGGGGTGCTCATCACCCACTAAAACATCAAACACTTCCGTTATATAGTTTTGTAAGAGAGTAATTCGTTATGAAGAGAAACGAAAAAAAAACGCGAAGATGGAATGAAAAAACGAATCATGTGAAAATGTTCGGATGATCGATACTACTGGCTCCGCGAAACTTTTTTCTAACGACCCACCCTGACAACCAACTCCGCCCACCTAGCATATAGCGCCTAAGACCCTGGTCAGGACTCTCGGGCAGAACATTCAATTACTGTTAGTTACTTGATTAGTTCTGAAGAATTTTTTGCGTCTGATATCTCTGACAAATACATTTCCGGCTTAACATTCTCAGAATACATACGTTCGTTTTTCTTTATAGGTCTAAATTAGAATGAACCATACGCTTCTATAGTTTGTAAGTATGGTATTCCGAATTACACCGACTATATTGTAAGTAATAATGATGATCATTGGAGTGTTATATGGCTGGAAAACATTAACGAGTAACAAACTGGTACATCTGAGCAGCAGCGGATGGTCAGTACATCGGCCGAATGCCGTTTACACTGGGAAGTACTGCAGCCTCACACCATTCATCTATCTTTCCGTTATACGTCACTTAGGAATGCGAACACTATCTTAAATTATCATCCCTAGCATAAGGCCGGGACGCGTGGAGCGCAGTGGTTAGAGGCGTCCTGCTATGCACATGAGTTCGATCGGGGATCCACGCTCACCAAATCCTCCGTCCCTTTGGTGTCGGCAAATTGGTATCAGACTTGCCTGGGAAGATAGTAGCACTAGATCGATCAACTGATCGGCCACGGCGAGTCATTGCAAAGGCCAGATATGCATTTAATCACCTCCAATGGTGTGCATAGCGCATTCCTCAGGGAGTGATCAACGTCGAGAGCTTTTCCTTTTACTTATCCTTCAGCATAAGGCCGTTTATGCCAGGATCCATGAACGGTCTCCAAGCTACGTATAAACACTACAATCATCTCTACTTTTCTAGGGTTTGAAAAGTAGGTTTAGATGTAGGAAATCCCACGATCGACTTTGTTCTAACCTTGGCATTTATCAGTGAGTCATTGTTTTTCTTGTTGAGCAAGCATAAGGTTGTTATTATAGCATTTATTAGTCCAGAATAGCTGGTGCTTCGACGATTTCGCCCACTTGATGCCCATAAGACAAGGTGGAGGAGATTTTGGTGTAAAACTCACCATCCTGGCACAGGAATCAAAAGTATCGGCGCGTAAAACTCTCGAAGCGATTTGGGTACTTTGTAATCACGGATATCTTCGCGCCATACATCTCGCTAACTTTCTGACTTGAACCAGGCACATTTTTTGCCTATGTGAGACTGTGCGGATGGTCTTCGCCAAATATATAACTGGAAGGCTTACAAAGAGCAAAACGGTGAGTGCAACAGTTCATTGATAAGCTTACTCAAGGTTGTTACCACACATTTATTCACCTGACGTTTCTACGTCTTCGTCTTCCTTCCTTAGAGGCGACGATCCTAGTCGATGGTGGACAGCACTTAGCTGGTGTCTCATTCGAGTGCTGTTCCAATAGAGACGCGGCTCGACGAGGAGGGCACCATATTGAGAATAGGAACGACTGTAGACCATCGACTCGGACCATCAGCTCTGATGAAGACGAAAGCGTCGAAACGTTACCCGAATAAACATTTTTATCAACCTCATGTTAGCTTAGCAATGAAATAGGTAGACTGGTGAATGAAAAAGTCGGATTACAATAGTGGAACAGTGAGTGTTTAAAACTTATGCGAATGAACATTTAAGTATCAAGTTTTACCTGCTGAGGTTATGAGAGTGCTTAGCTGAGTGTCATTTTAACCTTTCCAGGCTCTGAAGAAGGGAAACTGCCGAAACGTCTGGTATTATGAATGTAATGCTGTAATAACAACCTCATGATTGCTTATCAAGGGAAACAGTGAACTATGCTTAACTATAACCACAACGATGCTGAGATATTTGCAAAATTCCACACTGCCGATGTTCGCAGTGGAGATCGAACAGCTACTACCTTTTCCAAGAGGCTAACGCGTTCTCCATCACCCCATGCGGATCCTTCGTCTCACATTGCTAGGTAATTCTCCTACATGAAAGTATTTGATAAAACCAACAACTAAGAACACTAGTTACCGCGATATTTCACTCGATTCCCTTACTAAACTCGTCATAGCCCTTTAACTTGGTTATGGTAGTATATCCTATGATTGTCACGGTTATGATGACCATAGGTTTTGTGCTATTAACTTTTGAGATGCGAAGACATCAAAGACCTAAATCATCTTTTATTTGTCTACGACGTTATAATGTACATTAAAGCCACATATAGCGCGACATTAAAACAGCACTTTCAGCCACACATTCAAATGCTAATCTCATATCCTTTCCCTCTCAGATTAGGCTACAATTGCAGCGAAGATATAACATGATGAATCGCATTTCTGAAAACAAACTAAATATTATATTACTCCGAAGCTCTAACTACACAAGAACAAACAAGTTACAAGATATATTGCTAGTACGATGTCACTGAATTGTACTGATCCACTGCAATACAAAACCCGTGAAATACAACTCCTAAGGATAAAAAACAATGTGAAGCTAATGTTACATAAACAAGGCAGATGTGACATCACAATAAAGAGCCTAATATGTCCATTAGCAATAACAGGGCAGAAAATGACAGGTGATGTTTGTTAGGTTGAGAACAAGTGGAACAGTCATTATTAATCGTTCCGTATATATAAATTAGCACAAATGTTCAAAAGATTTCATCAACGAACATTTGTGCCAAAAGAAAAGCAACAAGGACAGAAAAGACGACGAACTTAGGTAAAATGTGCCAATGATAAGGTAAGAAAAATTATGAGCCAGTAAGAACATCGAACACTTCAAGTTCGTGTATGTCAAAACTGCGACTTACGACCAGAGCAGGGCTTCCAAAAGTGCGACATGCTGAGGACATACCATGCGTTAGTTCTTCAGAAATACGTATAGCATCGCCATCACCGGAACCAATCTGTGAAATTCTATTATGCATCACACGAAAACTTACCTAAATATTGTCTAGCACAGTGTCCACTGCTAAACTCAACACGTTCTACTGGACACATGATCAAATCATATACTGGGTGACAAGATAATACAAAGTGATTTTTTAATTCACAGACTTATTGCGAGTGAATAACAAATTAACACATGTTCAACAAAGAAATCAGTAGAAGAGAACTCGTACCACCAATAATTTGTCACCAGCTGCCATAAACATCTGGGGAGAAGCGTCGGCATTCTCATTGTTATTTCCTACCCATCCATATATTATTGGAAGTCCAAGCTCTCTATCGAGCACCCAGATGAAGGATTCTCCTGTGCCAAAATACCTTAAATAAATCTATATGACATTAAGAAAACGGTGTGGATTCCAATTTACGACTAATATTAACTTCGACTTGGAGCGCTCACGACGATCATTCCTTTCTGCCCATGAGGAACTACAATATGCGCCGAATTTCTCACTCTTCGTGGTTCTTATCAGTATTAGCGACTGTTCTGCACAATCTATCCTGAAAATATTGATCTTCAACAACTAGACTCATCCTGTCTAATACTGTGCTAATGTTGTGCTACCCACTTGCTCCATAGATGAGTAAAACTTGCACCATCATTGCTCAATCGGAACAATAGCTTTGGTGTCTCCAGCTGGAGACGAGGGGGTAGCGCTGACATGATTTCAGCAGCAGCCTCTATTGAAAAGAAAAAAACGTTAACGGCGTAAATATGTTCGTCGAAAAGCTCTTTATTAAATTCAGAGACATCAATCTGTGCTGGTTTTTCGACATCTACCAGTAGCATTTCGATAACCAACGCACTTCAGTAAAATGAAACTTGACAGAGTTATATAACAGATTTGGATTTTTGCTACCAAATTTAAATTCGTTGAAATCAAAAGCTAATAAAACTGTTGACGAAACAATTAATTCCCAAAGAATTAACACAAGCGTAGTAGCCGCAAATATCACCAGGAACTGTGACATCATCACGTTCTGGGGTACGAAGTTTCACTTATTTACACCTAGGATCCGAAGTTGGTTCTTCGCCAACTGCTGAAAACATAGCCAGCTTATAGAAGAGAAATTCATTCTATTTATTTGGAAGCAAAGTTGGCTATTCAAAACGATTACGTTTCCAAAGTTGTTCGGAACATCTGCAAATTGCAGTGGCCTCTATTCCAACTGAAAACGTCTGCTTTGAGCGTAACTATGTCAGTTCAAAGTTGGAAGTGGCCGCTATTTCCGCATAATCGCATGAGTGAAAATTAACTTAAAATGGATCCTAAGTGTTAAATCACTTCGTTGCACGAACTATCTGTTTCAACGAAAAAAAAAACGTTTTGCGAAACGGTAGTCCAGAAAAATAAATAAACCTTCATAGCAGAAATGTGTAGATTCTAACAACTTAAACTCCAATAATAGAAAAGGATAAAGTATAAAGTTGTCGTCGTTGATCAATCCCTGAGGCATGCGCCATACATTAGACTTCATTAAGCATCGTTGGATGTTACTGAATGCATATCTGGTCTTTACAACGACTCGCGGTGGCCTACCGATGAATCGAGCTAGTGCTGCTATCCTGCCAGACAAGTCTGGTACCAATTTAGCGACCACGGAATGATGGAAACGACCCTTGGGCGCGGGGAACCATCCCGTGTTTATTGTAGGGCGCACCCGACCACTCCGCTAAAGGCGCCCCTTAAACCCCAAATAATAGATTTTACCAATTAGTGCAATATGTGTGTTTAAAGTTGCAAGACGGAATTATTTACGGTTAGTCGCGAATGTCTTAAAAACTAAATCAGATATCGAACAAGAACTTGATGTTATATCTTCAATCGCAACTATTTATACGGATTATATTAATGAAGTGATACAGATGCGCAAATACCTTGATCAACTATTGCTGAGGAAAACGGCTGAGTGTATAAATGACCAGTTCTCCTTGGCAAACCTCGTTTCTGCGACTGCCGCCGACTGACTTCTTCACGTAACTGAAATTTATCTCAAAAGAAATTTCACACAGCAAATTGAATGAAGAAAAAGTGATAGAAATAAACAGTGATATCGCATGGCTCTAACCTTATTCTCAAACTGCACTTGAAGTCGCGTTATTGTTGAGCTTTGTAAGTTTCTGATACGGGTCGCTGTTTGAATAAAGCTTTCCGCAGAGATCTACAAGAGCACTATTTAATAAAAAACAACAGCATTATTTAAGTTACGCCGCCTACAAACAAATTAATGATAAAAAAAGCACATGTAGAAAGCAGGAATAAGGAAATAAGGAAGAAACGTATTTTTCTTGCTATGTGTATCGCACCTGTATCTGCTGTGCTGTATTCGCCAACTCCATTTTAACAGCTTCTATTCGCTCTTCTTGAGATTTGCCATGCATTTCTTCATGTGGACGATTCTAGAAATGTCCTGAACACTAAGGGAAAGAAAAGCGTTGAACATCAAATTACAAATACAAGTTCCAGCTAGACAACCACACCTTTAATGACTTTGCCCACATGTAAATTATAGCAATTGCTGCTCTGGTGACAAATTTATGACCCTCTACCAAATAACAATCTACGATTCGTACAACATGATTTAACGGAAGTCCATTGAAAATCCATGAAAGCCAATCTCGGAGCTGGAAAGATAAAAAAACACACTAACAAAGTCTTGTGAAGAATGCAACTAAGAACTTCAGATTCACGCACCGCTTTAACCAATATTGAATCATCGGTGGTGCCAATTTCCCGTTTCAACATTGCGTATGCATGTGGTTTGTGCTTTTTTAGAAGCGATAAAATAGTGTAGGATGAAGCAGACCACTGTACAGGTGAGGTCATTAAATAACCCTAAAGGAGCAAGAAACACCTATCGTAAAATTTAATGGCTATAAATCTCGAGCACATAAACAATGAGGTGAAGCAGATGAGAAAAAGAAAGGCGAGGACAACAAATTACCTTAGAAACAAGTAGATGCTGCACACATGCAAAGACGTCGTCGTCTTCTAAGTAGTGAAGCATGAGAGCACATAACGGATAAAGCATCTGATAGAGAACTTACAAGGTAATTATTAGCATGGCCTCAATTAAGAACATCTTGAAACATGATATACTTACTGGTGCAGAACTAATTTCAGGACGTAACTGTTCAATTACTGTGAGCAGGCGGAGCAATCGGACTGCTCCTTGCTCGTTCAAATCAAAGTTGTTCACCACTACGCCTTCCTCGCAAAGAAACTGAGGTTGGTGCGCTTTCGCTAAAAATAAGATTGGTAATTATTGGCCTAAAAAACTTACCACTGTCATGTAAGACCTTTGAAAAACTTTATTTCCAACAGCAATAGGTGAAAAAGCCTCCCAAACGGTTTACCGCCTCATTGCAGCCTGGAGGTGTTCTAGGGCGTTGGGCTGCGATGTACAGTTGGGGAATTCATCTTCCAGTAGAGTAGTAGGCAAGCTGAGAAGGATTCCGGCATTTCCATCAGGAAACCCAGCTAAGAGTAAACCAATACCAGGATTCACCACGGCTCTGGCATCGAACTGGTCGGGTGGTGGTAAACCTCCCTCTGATCCACAAAGGCGGCGACTGCCTTTGATGGAGATGACCTAGGACAGACTTTGGTCAGAATGAATTCAGGATTCCAGGAAACCACAGTGGCTAAACCGGCAAAACCCCGAAAAAGAGGAAATTATACTGGGGCCCGCACAATCAGTGGAAGCGGGCCATCCGAGTATCCACGTAATTCCGGCTGAAAAAACAAAATCTAGGCATTTCATAATGCCCAAGAGAAAGTAAATTAAGCAAAAAAGTGCAGTAAAAAAGACACATAAAAAAGTTCAATCTGCTAAAAATCTATTAAGGGAAGGGTAAAAATGTTACTAGAGCACTAAAGAGTTGTGCATGAAACTCGCTATAGATGTTAATCACGCAATGTACACAACAAGAACAAACAAAACGGAAACTTGCAGCCAAAGATCAAACAACTCTTTAACGTCTCTGGTTTAATAATCCAAGAAACTATCAAATGCCTTTACTGTTCACTTACTTCCATTCCTAGCAGTCTCTTCGAGTTCGGAACGATATAAAGCTTTGCTACTATCGTAATCCTTACTATGACAGAGAACGCGCCACAACTCTCGCCGAACTTCGTGTCGAGTCGGCCATTCCGCTTTTCTTACGATCCTTTTCACCTAAAATATCAAAACCATCTGTTTTTTTAGATGCGAACTCTATCATATAAAGACCTCAAAAAATTCGGAAAACATTGCTCGTCCGTAGGGATGCATTCAACAGCAAACAAGTTGATCCGGTTCCGATGACAGAGCAACAAACATTTAAAGAAATGGTTCCACAACACGAGATAAGGATGGTGCCAATAACATTATAGAAGCTTATCCTGATTTTCAACTTTCCTCTGCTTCCAATACTGCGCTGCATTTAGTTTGCGAAAATCGAAATTGGAAGTATGCTTCGTGAGAAACTTGTTACAACTTGTACAGCATTCATTTCCACAAAACGACTCACTGTTTTGCAGCAAATGCAACACGGTACTGGAAAAAAAACAGTCTCTTTTTTTGAAGTGGATAATAAGCTTCAATTGTAGAATATGACTTACTATCGGTTCAAAAACTCATGAGAATCTTAACCGTTTTATTTACTGCCTACTATAATTTTTCACGGCAGGGTATGAAGTAAAATACAACCAAGATGATGCTGAGATATTTGCAAAACTTTGGACCGCAGGTGTATACGGTAGGGAATGAACGCGCTATTACCCTTTCCGGGAGCTAACGCCTTCACCACCACACCATGCGGGTCCTTCGTTTCGCCTGTCTCTCAGCTAGTATTCTATCGATCACTGCTATCAGCGATCACCCATCAAGGGGATTGATCTGGGGAGCCCAAATAGGCAGTGGACTAAGTTAAGTTGAGGCTGAAGTTGAAATCACAGTCTTACCCTTTTTATTTTACTGCCTACTATAATTTTTAACGGCAGGGTATAAAGTAAAATACAACCAAGATGACTAATGAGAATTGTTTCACATTATAAGCATGAAAATCCACTTACACCTCCTGATAAAAAGACATCTTGCCAAAATTCCGAAGCAACGGATGAATCGGAATATCCAGAATCTGTACATGAGGAGTCCGAATCAACACTGTTGAAATAAAAAGTGGCAAACTTCGGCGGGGTGTTCATCGTAAAGCAATGATTTCGTTAGGGATTGTGAGAGCGATAATTCTATCGGATACGAAGAGTGGAAGAGTCAACCAACTATAGTGAGTCGATTGCGCTACCTCTCTCTAGCTTCGAGACTCAGTAGACTAGGTAGGTAAATAAGGATCGGGATGGCTGACGGGGTGGAACCCGTATTCCAACAACAAACAAAGCCCGAGGCGTGGGGGCAGAACTGCGACCCGAAGCTGGCCGAAAGCAATCCGATGAAAAGAAAACGAGTCAGAATCGACAGAACAGCACTAACAAACACATGATGTGATCAAACATTGACGACGAGGTGCAAGCAGAAATACATTGGATTATAGGAGCAAAGCCTTAGAATATTTGGCTCCGAGTACGATGGTGACCTCACTGATTTCATTTGAGAACAACACGTGATATGATAATACGTTCTCATAACACGTGCAAAAATCGCCGACGAAATATTACAACGAAAGTAGAATGTGTGAATGTTGGCACAAATCATGAATATTTAGGAACCAAAGCAATCACAATTCGAGATAGTCACGTGGAAACTTGTGATGTACGGATGAGTAGTATGGAAATCAGACATAGGTACCACTAAAAACACCATGATGATAAATGACACTATAAGAAGGAAAAAAACAATTCACACCTTATCTATTCGATTAAGCCTACGATTATCCTGAATTTCATCGAGCCGAGACGGGATTGAACTCTTTCCAATCGGTGTGTCACTGTTCTTGGTGAAACGAGGATAGGAGTCCTTCTGAAAAATTGTGATATCAAAAGTATTGAAAACAAACATTGTCAACAACATAAGCATGCATACTAAGCATAAAACAACCGAACTTATTCCACTCAACTTACCTCAGAAATGCTCATTATAAATAACTTCAACCTTAAACTAAAGCAATTAAATATTTCGCAATCCGCATGGGAAAACAGAAAAAGAAAAACATGTTCGTGGCGTTACGAAAAAAGAAATACCACATTTGAAACACTAGTAACTCCTTGAGTAAAACAAGTCAATAAATCCTCTATAATATGCTTAATACACAGGATAAAATAAGAACTTCTGTGCCGGATTAACAAGGATATATAGAGTAGAATGGCAGTAGGTGAGGGAAAATCGATACGAGCCCATAAGGGGAGTGAGTGCTTCAATCATTCACCACTCACTCTTCAACATTTACGCGTTGAAGAAAGTTCAAATGAAGTAAACCAGCTAGTATTGTGATTCTTGTCATGACGATTCATCAACTGTCATCAATTATATGACTCATCTGATCGTAATGTACAGAATTCTTGCTCATTAACATGACAAACATATAATGCAGAGCATAAATTTGAACATCACTAACAAAATGGTACCAGCCGTTTGGCGGTCTATTTTCTGCCATTTGTTTAGATTCACCACATATGTCGAAACATAATACAATCTATACATAAACTGGTACTGCTAAGTGCAAGTGAGAGTTGCAAATCGGCTGGTACTGACCGCATCGAAACCGGGTTAGGAGAACAATCCGAATTACCACACTACATTTCATTACATAATCAAAACTGAATATACAGAAATCTCTTCCGACGAAATCAGAATAGTTATGTTAATACTGTTGACGCTTTTATATGCTATCCACGAAATTCAGCAGATGTCAACAGGATTGTAAAACCAAATCTGGATAAACGACTACTTAAATCTGGAAAATAAACCCTTCTCTCTGCTTCTTTCAGTGATCGACTCTTGACAGGAGTGCTCCGATTCAAAACTCCATTTTTCTTACGTGTTTATCTAATCAACTCAACGAAAACAAAACCATTTGTTTGTCAGGCTCGCAGTAACAGCATCACTCTGTGAATAGTGATGACCAAGACAAAAAAAAACCACAGACTACCAACGCTAAAATAGGCTTCAATTTGTTTTTGAAATGGAAAAAGACGTAGTTTTGAAAATATGTGACTCGAATCTGACAACAATGATGTTAGATATTAGTTTGTTATCACAGCAAATACCCTGAAAATCATGGATACCCTGACCTTCTGAATATTCTCCCAGTCGAGATCCTCTTTTTCTCTAGTTGAACGAACACTTCCTGTTGACCGATCTGGTATCCGAAAGGAATGCCGAAGCACTGTTGAAATACGGCTGCAAGTAGATACTGGTAGTGACTACAATTTTCTACTTGAATCATTTTGATATTGTCATCTAATTTTCACGTTGCTAAGGAACCAATTTAGTATGCCAATTACACCGAACTCCTGTACGATATGCTTACCACTTCCAGATAATAGTTCAAATCTGTTGTACAACTAGAGTACAGCTAATTCAAATATTCTCTGAAGGTTTTTTTTGTCAAATGAAATAAAAGGGATGTACGTTCAAAACTTTATGACCGAATTATGTTTGAAGAGATGAGCATAACTGTAGATTTTTCAAGGCGTTTTTTTAAACTCTTTATAGTCACTCCGCCGCTTTATTCTCACTGGTTCATGCTGGTGATAAAGCCTTGGGTGCCAAACTAAGACGAACGTCAACCGATAACGAAGGCGCGTGGCTCTTCGGATGAAATCCGACCAATGCCTCGTCCGCTGCCAAGTTTCTGGTTTCTTGATTCTATGAGTACGAATGATGTGTACACTTCTATTTACTGTGTGTTACTGATATTGTACGGAATGTCCGACTGTAAAAGACGCATGCATTGACTAAATATAGGTTGCAAAATGCTCCCAAGTGTTTACGATGTATTTGCATAATGGGCCATAGTAACACACAGTAAATAGAAGGTGGGGATCATTCGTACTCATAGAATAAAGAAACCAGAAACTTGGCAGCAGACGAGAGGTAAAACTGTCACTAGAAAGCTTTCTCGTCACTCGTATGGTATGTTTTTGCCCAAAGTCGACGGAAACCTTCTACGAACCATGAAAATGACCACTGTCCGCCATGAAGACCTAGGAGCGCTTCGGCCCAGCTGTTATAAGAGATTGAAGAATCGTTTGTCCATAGACGGCATGGAAATAGGAACCATATAAAAAACTAGGCCCCTAATTGTACAATAATAAATAGTGTGCAATAATTGTACTTGTCATCCCACGTGAACAACACAAGGGTGGTCTCACACGTAACAAACGACTCTGAAGAAGGCGAAGTCGCCGAAACGTCTGCCATCGAACCACAGCAACAACAACAACAACAACAACGACAACGACAACATGTACAAACCTCGCATCACTTCAAGAATGGCAGGCCTCAAGAACATGTACAAATTCACAATAATATTATCTAACGGTAACACGTTAGCCCGCAAAGGGTAGTAGTGGGTTCGATCCTCACCGCAGACACCTGCGGTATGGAGTTTTGCAAACATCTTAGCATAATTGTGGTTATATATTACACTATACCCTGCCATAAAAAATGAACAGGCAGTAAATAAAGAAGTACTACACTGTAATACTTAACAGTAGTCCACTATTATCCACTTCGTCTACTTCAAATTCTAACAACCACATTGAATTGTTCGAAACTAGCGCTTCGCCCTATGTTTCCTGACAGATAGAATAAATTACTGCATATCCATTATCGGATAACGGAAGCAAAGAATAAGCTTCTTTTTATTTCTTTTTCCGCCCATTATCATTGTAAAATGTATTAATATTCATAAGGCGACGCTACTTTGCTTATTGTTGTATCCTACACTACTTCTTCAATATTTTAAAACATTACACTTAAATCCAACGAGTGTTTAGCCAGAAGCAATTATTTCCAAAAAACCAGTATCCGTACTGAGGATTGAACTCCAGGAGTGAAAATTATCGTAAATGTTAAAAGCTACAAGAAAACCTGAGCATTATCATCAGAACGTGAAACGGTGCAGAAGCGGTGAACATCTCATGACAACTAAACCATCTCACAGGGCTTCGGATGAAATCGATGTAAATATCCGCAGATATCAGTGAAATATATCTCATTAAAAAATGAATCATCTCGGGAAAAACGGCGAGAACTTGCCGTCTAAACATTTACGATGTGTTCCTGAGATTTTTTTACGCTTATGTTGTCGGCAGAATATCCGAGGTCTCTAACGAATTCGTGGCGAAACTGGCTTTCCTCGTTAACTAACGATGACTGCTCGTTAGGCAAAACAGTTAAAGCGTCAAAAGCTTAGTACGCACTTACAAACGCCACCTGGATCAATCGAAGTAAAGCTATGCATGAAAAAACAGAACGTTCAGGCTTCAACTTGTGTGGAACTAAAATTAAAAAAAGAATCAAGAACGGAACCAAAGTCTGTAATCTTTTCAATGCAAACGTGGTACTCATAAGTATCACCGATACATTACTGGACAATTTCATGACGACCAGCATGACAAAAATCCGTTTGGTGGAAAGAAGCAAGAAAAAAAACGTGTCGTCCGCTCCAGAGAATCAGGATTTCATTTTGCCAGAATGAAAAACTCTAAAAACTATGATTAGACCTACATCAGTTCCAATGGTTCCTTTTCTAACCAGCAATGTTCACTATAAACTGATGTCCTTATTTAAACACGAAAACGGGCATTATTCTTGCACTGCACGTGTTGAGATCAATGCATGCTGTCACGAATATGTTAACACGACGACAATCAGATATTGACAAGCAACTGATTCATAAAACCAGTTCTAGATGACAGATCTTAAATTCAAAACAATATTGCTACTAGCAAATAGTATATTTTAATACTCACGCAAACGAGCTACCCTGATGAGAGAGACGTCTGAATAATGGCGGCAGTTTCACGTTTTCCGTTAGTCTGTCATCATTCTCTGGCCCACTCATGCCGTTCACGAGACGGTTTTCTGTAAATTTACATTATTGGAACTCTTGTGATTCTATCGAATACATCATACATGACCAACACCTACTGCTCGAAGTTAACACGAGATTAGTTCAATTCAATCGCTACAGAAGTGATGTATAACAGGTAAAACTGAGCGCAGATAATATACAGCACTGTGTGAACATGGTGCTTTACGAAACAACGATAAAGACAGAACAGAAAAGCTCGATGGAAAGTCGTTAGAAACGAACGAACAATGGCAAATGCCACTTCATTCAGCAATAGCCATTAGACTGTTCATGAGCAAACATCGCAACACATAAAAACACCCTCGGAAACATGAGTGTTACAATGAAACATTACTAATTGTATAATAACAAACCGATGAAGTCATTAGACCCACTCTTATCGTCTGCAGACACTCATCAGTAGATGGAGGTCTAGCCAACCGTAGTTCGCTAATTTCAAACAGATGTATGGACGGATGGATATCTGACATGTTTGATGTCGGCAAAGGAGCGCAATCAACGATATTCGTGAAATCGAGATTAGAGTTTACCGAAATAAAGAGTAAAGTACTATCTCTGTTTGCTCAACAAGAATATCGAGAATTATCTGATCAATGCCGAGGTTAACAGAAAGTCGGTCGTGGGAATTACTAAGAGATTAGTGTTTACGGTTACACGTTCGTAGTGCGGGCGTCTAACAAACGGCCTATATGGGTGCATGGGAGAATGGGAACGTGGTGGGAGAGGTGCAAGGTGGAAATGGTTCGATTAAATTTCACAGAAAACTGGACGGAATGAAACTGCACGTGTGTGTATATGTATGTATATCTGCGTATGTCTATATGTATATGTGTGCATGCCTGTGTGTACGTATGTATGTGTATACGCACGTATATCTGTGTGTGTGTGTGTGTTTGTGTGTGTATGTGTGTGTTTGCGTGGAAAGGACTCGAGTCAAGATATAAACATCGAAGCACCGACACCAGAACAGAGTACATCGTCGGGGCACACCACTAATCGATTGATGGCAGAAAAACGATGGGTGTCGCGCAGCAC